ATGTCTTTCAACATGGGTTCAGCGTTCACATGTCCCACCTGCACTCACGAAAAGACACCGTATCCATGCATTTACATGCACTCTCCTGGTTCTGTAGTTCTTTGGTGGCTGCTGCTAACTGGCGTTTCAAATTTTTGCGCTCTTCCTTCAGCACAGCAACCCTATCAGCCGCGGCCGGTGGGGCTGCAGCTGCCGCGGCGTTTGCATCAGCAGCGGACATGGCACTCAAGGCGGGCGAACAACAGGCTTGCTCCACTCAAACTGCATGCAGTCCTCAAGATGATCCTGTGTTCTCTTTGTGCTTGCCTGGTACCTCCTTTTCACCCCTGTTCACGACCCCAGAAACATGGCTACGAGAATGTGACAAAATGGTCATGCACCGATGTACCCTGATAGTATGTCTGCCAATGTGTGCTCTGCCGCGCAATTTTTCTCCCGGCTCGCACCTCGTCACAACAGAGCCGTGTACGCGTACGCCATACGGCGTCGCTCAGGCCAGATGCTTTGCATGGCTTCTTTAGAGGGCTTGCTGCCTGGAGGCATATGCAGTGGCATATCCATAAATTTTCGCAACTCCGTATGGAGGTGCGCCGTATCGGGCGGCTTCGCCGCACCAACAGATTCAAAAGTGCGTTTCCAACTCTTGCCGGCAAAGTAGCTGGGACACTGCATGAGTTCAAAAAGCCAGGCTAACGGGTCTATCAAACCCTCACAGGAACCTGCCCTCAGTTCCTGGTACTTCCTCTTCAAATGTGTTTTCAATGGGTGGAAACCTGCTATATCTAACGGTTGGATTTTGTCTGTACATCCGGCTGGTATGTACAGGAGCTGGACACCATTGCGCCGAGCGCACACCATGGTTTCCTTTGCGAGATGTGAGGACGCAACATCCAGCAACAAGATAGGTTGAAATGGATAAGGTTTTAAGACTTTGCCTAGATCGCGCACAATCTTGGTGATGTTCTTGCAGGATGTCCAAGCACTTTTCTGACGTACTATGTGCAGCGCCGTTTGTGGCAAGCGCCGCTGGCCCCTCAGCAACTTCTGTGTCAGCTTGGTCTCAGTCCCAAAAAGGTAGTGCGGCAACTTGCCTTGAATATGCGGCGCATCACAAATGATGCTCACATAGGTCAAAGCCCCTCGCACGTCTTGTTTCCGGACAGGCATGCGAAGACTGGCATGTCGTGGCAAAGCAACGCAGCCGGGCAATTGCAGCATGGTGTAGGGAATGCTAGTTTCGTCTAAATTCAAAAACAGCGGAGTCTTGTCCACAAACTTCGTGTTCACGTAGTAGGAGAGTAACTGCCAAAAGGTTCTCACCTGACAGGGCGAAGCCGAGCAGGGAGGCTAGGAAAACATGACCACATGTGGGAGGAGGTCCGAATTGCAATGAGCTTGCCCGGCCCCATTTTTGGAGCCGGAAAACGGTCGCAAAAACACGACCGTGCTTGGCGCCTTAGCCTGCACCGTGACTGGGTCCCTGTGCACTTGTGGACGTAGGACTCGGCGCCGCAGGTTCCACTTGGCTCGGAAGCGCTGCACCCATTGATTCACATGCCGGCGAGGCGGCAAACCCTCCAGGAGGCTGCCAAACCGCGCTTTCTCCCACGTGGCATAGACATCCAGCGATAGCGGTGCTACACCGACGTGGTTGCAAGCCAGAACCCAGTTGAAAGTGTTAGCCTCTGCCAGAAAAGCGGCTGCATGCCGCACTGGCCGTGCCCACGGAGTCGCGGAAGGTGAAAAAATGTGCTGCAAGTCTAAGTCTGTGGTGCTCAAAAACAAATCTTCCACCACAACCCGTGTTGTCCCTGAGGTCGGCTTGACTGCTGGCCACAGGGCAGCGAAGCGAAGCGCTAGCTCCATATTGCAGTCCGACAACACATAGACGGCAACGATCGCTTTGCAAGCAAGAGGGCTAAAACCTCCAGAGGCTGCTTCCTTCTTTGCTCGGTATCTGGCATGCTTGGCTTGCACTCCGGCCGCTCTGTTTCTGGCAAGGTCTGCTTGCAAAGTTGCAATGGTTTCTGCTAAAGCCACTGGAGTCGCCGCAGGTGCGTGAGCCATGGGGCAAGGCTGCGGCCACCTGGGTGCTGTCTTGGATGTCTTTGCATGGAAGCCTATACCCTTCTGTTGCTGGGCTGTGACTCTGTGGCATATGAATGCGAAAAATTGGTGCTGTTACAGCCATGTCCTGTGACTCATGTGGCGCTGGATCCACACCGAAGGCCCGACAGAGCTGCTGCATGCAATCTGTGAGTGATGGCTGAGCGGCGGCTGCAACAGATTCTCCATGCTGACCTAAACACAACCTCCTGGACTGCAACTCCTAGAAGGAACCCTTGCAACTCTGAGAAACAATGCACGTGCAGCATGCACCCACATGGCAGAAGCACATTGAGGGTTCAAGCAGCTGTAGACCCAAATCTCCCCCGCAGGCGGTTTCACAAACCTAACCCAAGCCATGCCTTTCTCTACCCCATGCAGGCTGTTACTCCAAATGATAACACGGGCCGGTAAGCTGCACCAAATGCTGATTCTCGCGAATCCATGGTTCGTCATCATCCCAGTCAGTTGATTCATCTATGGTGATCACAATGGGGACCCTGAATAAATAAACCTGATATGAGAATATGTTCGTCTGTGACTGGCCTAAGCGATGAAAGTCTGGGTTTGCCTGAAATAAGGCCCGCTGAGATAGCACAAAGGACATAGAATTGCAATTGTCGAACAGGATAAAGCCGTGAGAATCTCTGTCGTAATGTTGTAACTCAGCGGCCGTGGCACCCTGGACAGTTTGAATGAAAGGAGGCTTCTGGATATACGTAGGCAAAACGAAATGGAGGCATTTTGCCAAGGTGCTTTTGCCAGCGCGCGAAGGCGCCCGGAGCACAAGAAATTTGTACCGAGAATCTAAAATGGAATACTGTTTGGCCCAGTCTTCGACTCGGGCAACCACTTCTGGCAAAAATGGCTTTTGCAATGGCTGGAGCTGAGCCACCACTTCGGCCTGCTCACGTCGGAGGCGACTTTCGCTCTCCTGCTGCATGACTGCTTCCACAGCGCGTTTGCGGGTGATATAGCCCAAGCGCACCTGCAACCTGCTGCACACGGTGTTGACACTTTTATAGTGATAATTCTGGAGACATTGGCCCTCTTTCTGAAAATGCATCTATAGAATCAGAGACCCCAAGGTATTTTCAAGTTGACAATCTCTTTAGAATCGCTGCCCCCAAGTCACTCTCGTAGAGCCGTTTTTTGGTTGGGGGGGTTAGTTGGCCTTCTATAAAATCAGGCTCCCCAAGTGTCATTCATTGACAGCTGACCTGAATGCTCCAGTTGCTCTTGCCTACCTTACCTTATGCATTCCCAATTTTATAGAGCTCAAAGGCTCCAAGTCTTCACTGTCAACCTCTTCGATTATATACAAGGATGATCAATGATGATGAACGAATTGTTGTGGGAAATTTGTTCTGCCAATACTTCTCTATAGAATTGAAGAACATGACATACACCCAAAGAGAACAGATCCAACTATAGAATCGCAGTGGCTAAGGCTTTCTGCTGACTAGGACTCAGTGCTGTATTCAACATGAAATCGCGACAGTACGCAATTACTATAGGCGGGACCGCAGCGGGACCGCGGCGGGACCGCAAAATGTGGGAATTCCCACGATTCCAGGTTGCAGGCGGGACCGGTCCCGCCGTCGGCGGGACCACTTTACCTGTGAATTTATAGGAGCGGGACCGCATACCCCGTTTGGGAATTATAATAATATACCAGGGGGGGTCAGGTGATGTTTTGGAGGTGGGGTGTGGGAAGATTCTTGGGGAGGTGATGTTTTGGAGGTGGGGTGTGGGAAGATTCTTGGGGAGATATCTTGTCTATCTAGCGTTGTATCCCTGGATGTCTTCTAAATGGGGTCTCTGGACCGCGCATGTCTTCCAAGCGCTTTGTCTTCGACATGGCGCTTGCAAGTCTGCGGTTTCCAGCTTTCACTCCTGCCGCGCTATGCCTTTGGCATTGGGATTTTCAGCCTTGACATGGTCTCATTCCAAGCGCTCTATGTCTTGACCATGGCGCTTGCAAGTCTGCGGTTGCCAGCTTTCCCTCCTAGTGTCCATGCCTTTGGCATGGTGCTTTCGAACCTTCACATGGCCGCTCTCACTCCAAGCGCTCTATGTCTTTGGCATGGCGCTTTCCACATAGTGCACGGCTTGACTCTACTCATGCGGGCTTGCCATTGGATGCATGCGACGTGCCAGCAGCCACGTCAAATCACTCACATCCAGCTTTCCTGCTTGTCGTAGAAGACGTCTTCGTTTCCTTTCCTGCAGGCTATGGAGTACATGTCTTTCAACATGGGTTCAGCGTTCACATGTCCCACCTGCACTCACGAAAAGACACCGTATCCATGCATTTACATGCACTCTCCTGGTTCTGTAGTTCTTTGGTGGCTGCTGCTAACTGGCGTTTCAAATTTTTGCGCTCTTCCTTCAGCACAGCAACCCTATCAGCCGCGGCCGGTGGGGCTGCAGCTGCCGCGGCGTTTGCATCAGCAGTGGACATGGCACTCAAGGCGGGCGAACAACAGGCTTGCTCCACTCAAACTGCATGCAGTCCTCAAGATGATCCTGTGTTCTCTTTTTGTGCTTGCCTGGTACCTCCTTTTCACCCCTGTTCACGACCCCAGAAACATGGCTACGAGAATGTGACAAAATGGTCATGCACCGATGTACCCTGATAGTATTTGTTGCGTCTTCTCTTCAAACTGCCCTTGCAAGGATTGTTCCATGCTCCTTCCAGTCATCGTGCTTGATGTCCTATTCGAACACTACCCAAGCTCTGTACAGGTACAAGTAAAATATAATATGTAGATATATATAGTAAAATCATGTAAAATCCCTACCAACAACCATCTTGATCTGCATGATCAGTAAAATTCCCTACAATAAGGGAGTTGTGGCCCCTGAAAAGTGCCCAAATCTAGGCTTCCAAGCCACCGCTTGAACCCCATTGGCAGCATTTCTGCAGCCCTTCCTGCGGGCTGGGGGGGAATGAACTGATAAATGAGTTCAAGTATGTAACATACATACGATTATACATATATATATTAAATATACGGACTTTTAAATATACGAACAGGTATTTTAGACTACCTCCGGGAAGGTTTTCCTTGGCCCGCCCGGACATTTAAACTAAACATACGGAATCCAATTCATTTAAACATACGGGAACTACATTTCAATATACGAACTGGTATTTCATACTACCTCCGGGGCCTTGCGGTCTGGCCCGCCCTCCATATATTTAAATGTCGTTACCGCATATTAATGTATGTATATATATATGTTTATGTATGTGCTAAAGAGACCAACAGAATGACAAGAATCCTAAAGAAATCGTGCCACGTGCATGGTTTTTATTTCATATGCGGGGGTGCTACTCATTCAACATCCATGTTTCATGTTTCTTTGGCAACAGGCATTTGATAATTACTTGGAATTCCCCTTTTTCAGTGGCAGAACAAAAATGAAACCAATTTCAGTGGATGCCCCAAACAAATGGAGAAATAAAACAGCCATTCCACAAACCTTGCTCCATGGCATTTTGTTTCCATGGAACATCTCCCCTTGCGCCTCAGTTTCTGCATCTTCCGCGCAGGAACTGTCCTGGGTTTCCAGGTGAAACCGAAGGTGCAAGTTGCGGTGCAAGTGGGGGCGTTCCCAAAACCAGCACTTACCCTCTGGTAATTTAACATAGCTATGGAAAATCACCATTTATAGTGGATTTTCCCATTGAAAATGGTGATTTTCCATAGTTATGTTAGTTTACCAGAGGGTAAAGGTTCCGCATGATGGAACATGTCCCAATGGCTTTACCAACTGAAATTTGGATTTCGTATTGCTTTGTTTGATCGCTGGGGGGGTATACCCTCTAGAACCTATATAGAATCTAAAATGTTCATATCCGACTTGTCCGATCAACGTATCCAGGTGAAGCTTCAAGTTCTTAAAACAGAACCCCCTCGAATGGCTTCCAACAATTTCCAACCATCTCAGGAAAGTCTCGGGATGTTTTCACAGCTACCCACTTTGCCCATCAGCTTGGATCCCTCTCCTCCACAAAGTCCAAACAGTCGGAACTCATGTCCATCCTCAACGCACGAGGATTGGGTGATTTAAGACCATTTAAGACAACACAATATTTAGATCTACCCTAGGACTCCTAGGACCCTGAAATATCAGCAAATAAGATATCTTGTGGTATAACATGGTATTTTTGTAACCCCAAATTTAATAACAATTACATACAATTATATATAATTATCGTCAGTTGAAGATGGTGATAGATGATAAACCATGATTCAAACCAGTGGATTTGGGGGTACCAAACTGGCAGCCATGGTCCCTTCCATTTTAAGTTGCCTCTCATGGTCACCTGGTCCCTTCCATTTTAAGTTTCGGGTGATTATATTATATACATTTATAAGATCATTTATATACAGTTTATCTGTTCTTGCTGTTACATCTCATTGTTGTCTAGTCGGCGGTATAAAATCCTGCCTGACAGTGATACTTTCCCAAAAAAATCCCCATGGCCCATCGATTGCTCACCACTTGTCTCCATCTTTCTTGTTTACATATACCAACATTACAGTAGGGGGACCTAAAAATATATATGGCTTTCGCTACCGAAAATATGGTATCCCAAAATCAATGGACTACATGAAAAAAAGTATCATGTCATATCGTTTTTCCACGAGCCAGGATGCTAGATCTTAAGGGGTAAATCTCCAACAGCTCGTCGTTTTTTGAGTTGTTCTGGGCACCCCAAACATCCAGTAGCTGAGGAAATTCCGCAAACATGATCTCAAACCTCGGGTGCGCGGAGGTTTCAGGTATTAGGTCCTCACAGCTAAGCCCCTCTCCTGTTTGTTGAGATATCCAATTTGTCCTTGTTCTTTTTATATAGTCAAAGGATGTCAAAGGGACAATGTGGTTGATTGCTCTTATCCTGTTTCTGATCGCTTGTTGAACCACCAGCAATCTCGACGCTGCAAACAAAACAACATTTCGCCCTTCTGATTACACATAAGACTGGTATCGATCCCTCATTTGCGATCATACCAAAACGCAACTTGTTGTTTGCACCAACAACACCAGATGGACTTCTTGGGCGTTGCTTTTTTTAAATAAAGGGATGTATCCATCCACCCATGTACCTACAGTATATTCATACAATATCAGCACCATCTGGCCATTTCCAGCACCCCAAATCAACCCCCCTGGGCACAGCGCTTTGCTGTTCTTGGGATCCAACTGGCACCCTGAAGGTACCACAGACTGGAGCCTCTCCTGGGGAAGCGGTTGCACATGTGAGGAGGGCAGACCAAAACTTCGTAGGTGGTCACGTTCACAAGCATGTAGACCTCAGAAAACATCGACCAGAGACGACCAGGGACGACCTGAAAAAACAAGGACCATCAATTATAATTGGTCTACAGTACTATAGATGATGTATTGATATAGACTTAGATCCGCAACCCTATTCTCCAGAGCACCAATTACAAGAAAATAAGATTCCAAACAATTCCATAAGATTCCATCTGAGAAAATGTTGATTCTACTGTTGGAAAACACCGACAATATCGGTTTGAACCTATTCAAAATGTAGTAATTAGATCTCAAGAAACCAGAAGATACTGCAGGTGGAAATCTACCCGCACTGGGTGAGTCCCATATGGAAGATTAGAATAGCGCTTCAAACTGTTGACCAGATCTGATGGTGAAAACTGAGAAGGCCTTGTGAACACAAAAAGAAATGAAATTTGCTTGCACCAAGTCACCATGTTTGGACACTTACCTCCTATAGAATCTATAGAGCGGTGACTCGAAATGTACCTTTTTCGAGCTGCCACTCTCAAACCAAACGTTAATCCACTACAATCGCTTCAAGATGGAACCCAGACTTGAATGACGCCCATCCTGACCAGCCAGAACCACCAACTTTGCTCAGACCCTTCTGTGCCCCGGGCAGTTTGTCGAAGAATCAAAGCCTTGGATCCCATGCTGAGTTCATGGATGTTTTTGTGTCGAAGTAGCCTGCTTTTAACATCATTTTTGGGGGGTAAAACGGTAAATGGATCTTCATTCCCCTCCTTGCGCAATATAACATGACGATAAACTCTTTTAGCCCATCCTGATATGGAGATCTTCAGTTCCTTGATCATCCAACGAAATACACAAGGCTGGTGGAAGAGCGGTTCAAATTCCAAAAGGCCCTGTGGATTCCGGAGATTTCTCCAGAAAGGCTTGCCTAGGCCACAAGTTACCAATGAAAAAACGCTACATAAATCAAAACAATTCTGATTGCGATTCTGAAAAAAAGGTAGTCATTGGGGATCACGAAATTGCGAAAATATTTCAACGGTAGCAAGAAATAATAAGATTAACAAAAAGTTACATGCACACAAACAAATGTTCAGGATCCAACATCCAAACATTCCCAGTGTTTTTTCAAGCTACGAGTACGAAGAGCATGGCCGGCACATCACATAGCAGGATGAGCAGCACCTCAGAGCGTTTGCCGCAGGCTTCGTCAGCCAATCCTCACGACTTTGGAAGCCAGGGGGATCTGCTATCTTCATGGGGATTTTACATGATTTTACGCTATTTTGATGGGGATTTACATGGATGTCACTTGTTCCAATCTTTTTGGGGATGACTGTCCTGTGGCGAAACCACGAAGTATTTGGGGTACCGAAAAAGTCCTAAGGAACAGGTGCCTTGCACAGCAAATAGCTGGTGAATGGATGTTCACTCCCCAACATAATCCCATTGGTATTGAATCATCCACTCATTGTTGGTGGATGTTGGTGGATTATGTACATCCTCATAACGGTTGATAGCCGAACTGCATTCAGTTCCCATTTCTGTTGGTGAAATCATGTGAAATCTATCTTCTTGATTGACTTCCGATATTCCCATGTGATTTCTAGGCCAGGGACGGAAATCAAACATGTTCCCTTTCTCTTGGAGAAGTCCCAAAAAAAAAGTCAAATCTTCATGTTTGCTCGGTTTGTCACCAATTTTTGAGGCAGTGGTTAACAGAGACGTCCAGTTCGTGGTTGATGATACTCCCCCGAACCCCCTTATAATATCTTATAATGACAAATCATCCATCATCTATCGATTCTATCCCACCATCCCACCTTTTTATTTGATGTTTAAACGACGTTAACACCCCAAAAAACCAATGAGTTCATCCATCTTGCTGGTGAATCCGGTTGAAATCCCCAGCGCCATAGGCTCCCCTGCTGCACTGGAGAGACCAAGGCCTTCGGCCTTCGGGGGACCATCTACAGGAAGTCATGGATTGATCGGCCACATCGTAGGAAATCATGGACTGACCAGCCAAAAGAAGTTGAAGAGGCAAATGTGACCCCAGTTGCAATCAAGAACTGGAGCATGGCACAAAAAAAGGGGCACCAACATGGCTCTAAACGAGCCACAAAAGATGGCTTCTTTGCCTACTGAAAAATTGGTGGGGGACAAATATACACAACCGGCAAGAAGAGTCGCATCTAATTTAGGGTCATTGAGTCATTTTGTTCATAGCGCGATTATTTTTAGTGCACCCTTTATTTGGGAGCATGAAATGGGTCTGTATCCAAGTTGTATATGTAGATTTGCCATACTATACATCAAAGTTTAGACACTACCCACTTTGACCCCCTGGAATCAAGTTCGAGCAAACCCCGCACTGACTAACACAAACGGTACGCAAATATGAAGAGTAACGTATCTTTGAAATTGAGGCTTGCTGTATTACTTGCCTGCGAGTCAAATGCTTCAAATGCTTGAAAGGTCCGGCCTAAGTATTCTACAAAAGCTTCCTCTGTCCATGACATTGCCGAATTGGAATTCATCTGATAAACATAGTGCCGAACAGGACAAGTCTTTTAAAAAGATCGAGCAGGATGGTATGGCACAACGAAATCTCCTTCTATGGTCTCCGATGCAGGTGATAGGGAACAGACAATTCCTTTTCGAGATGGGACACCCATTGAAAATGGATGAAGACGGCGATTTTCCACATCATTCCACTCCCAGACCCCGTAAATTGCAACGACTTCCTTCCCTTCAGCGCTGAAGAGCGCTGAAGAGCGCTTCGGCCAGACCCACGAAGGTGGTCAAAGCAATGCGCGTTTCGTTTTTTTTCCACGAATCCTGGGGTCTTTGTAATTGCTCAACTAGCCACATTGGCACCCAATCTATCAAGTGCAACTATATACAGTGATGACTCCAAAGAGGAGGTCGAGGTTGCAGAACTCTGGCGCTGCTAGCTGCTAGTACGACTGGAACATGGACTGCCAATGCGCAATTGATAAATAAGAAGTGAAAAAAACGGTTGGTTACTGGTGGTTCCCGCTTCATGGATTGTAAATGATTAAATGATTGTAATAACCCCCGGCCATCATTTATCAATCATATCCGTTGAGGGTTATATAGACATCCCTTACTTTACTAATGATGGTTACTGTTCATATCTTGAAACAATCAATAAAATGATCATATCATCAACAACTCATCATGTATCAATTCTACCCTCTGGTAATTTAACGTAGCTATTGAAAATGGCCATTTATAGTGAGTTTTCCCATTAAAAATGGTGATGTTCCATAGTTATGTTAGTTTACCAGAGGGTATATCCCCATAATCTCCCTATGTTTGATGCTTAAATCTTAAATCCCCATGAAATGACTACGTATAAACCGTGCAGCACCTCCCCGCAGCACCGAAGGTAGTGAATGCAACCAGCTGCGCATCGCCGTTTTGACGACGCGGTCGAGACGTTTGGAGCACTGGGAGACGTGGCAAAACATCGACTGGACCAGGAATGACGAAGCCAAAATGCTGGACAGCGGTCATACCCTCTGGTAAACTAACATAACTATGGAAAATCACCATTTTTAATGGGAAATTCCACTATAAATGGGCCACTTTCAATAGCTATGTTAAATTACCAGAGGGTAAATCTTGTGTTGACTGATTCTTCGTCACCATTTGGTGATTATTGATGATTATTGATGATCATATATAAGCTTCCCCGCTATCATAGAATATGCAAATGTTCAATTCCGCAGGCAATTTTACCCACAATATCCTACAATGATCTTAGAATATGCCCCCATTCCATGTTGAAACTTGTTCTCATCATTTGGTCTTTGCTCTCGAAGCCTTTGTACATAGTATCTGTTTTCAAGGTCAATTCCTGGGATACCCGGGGAAGCCAAAATTTCAATTCCATATTCTGTGATAGCGGGGAAGCTTATATATATATGATATCGTATATTAAAAATAGTAGTATATATTTATAAAACATATATTATACATAAACATACTGTGTATCAAATAGATCTTCAAATATCATATCGTGACTCAAAGCTCATCTTTCTTCAAAGCCACTGGAATTCTGCGACGCATCCAGGGTCCAGCAAACCACGCAGCTCAGTAGAGCTGACCCATGCTTCCCATGCCACCGCTGTAGCGGCTGTCGCCGCCTTCCTGGGCGCGCATTGGTCAACGGCGGTGGGATATCTGTTTGATATCCTAGGGGTACAAATGGTTTCAGGTAAGATAGAACAGGAAGAATTGGTTGGACATCAATTCTAGGGGGGTGACCATATATATATATAGTTATTCATTTATACGTAATATATATATGGGAAGATACGGAATTTCCACAGAACAGCGGATGCAACAAAGATCAACAAACGTCATTTATAGGAGCATCACCAACAAAAATGGGTGGTATCAAACATGAACAATGGCTGGTTGATGATTTCGAGCCCCACAAAAACACACCAGCAACAACTTGGGGGATAACATAACCCACAAGAGCGATTTTAAACAAAAAGATATGGGAGCAATTCTAGGGGATGTTTACTTATGCTGTATTATCCAATAATAGACGTGCCGTCAACACTTGGGGTAGGTGATCTACAGTATGTTCAGCGATTTCCTAGAAAAAGCAACGCGAGACGTCTCTTTTAGAAATGCGTATGGGTCAAATTCAGGTACCCCCAAAATGGGAGCTTACATGATCCGGCTGAAAACGACCCCAATTTTGCGGGGATCGAATTTTGACCCCTACACATGCCCTAGAAAAATCTAGAAAACCATTACCATCCTCAAGTCCAAGGGACATTGCCAGAGTCACCTTTGCCCTTCCCCCGACTGTAGGGTCCCTCTCGGTAGTCATCGGCAATCACGCTGTTTGCCTTGGGTCTGCCACGGACGTATGGCTTCCCCTTGGCTGCACCGTAGCCGATGGCAGTCAGACCCCCGGCCTTGTTCACCTTTTCACCCACCTTTTTCACCATCTCATCCAGGCTCAGCTTCCCCTCATCATCTGTGACTTTCACAGTGGTAGAGGTTGGTAGCTCTTCCTTGGATCCAGTGGTGTTATTTGTCTCTTTAATCACTCGCCCTGGGGGCACAAACGGCGACATGGCCGGCGACGCTGCCGCCATCGTCGGTGCCTTCCCCACCGGCAAGGGGATCTTGGGGCTCTGCGGATTGCCTGCCGCCAGCGCCATGGTGGCCATGCTCATCATACTGGCCATGCTATCCATATCCACCTCACTGAGGCTGGGCACCGTCCCCATCCCCATCCCAGTGCTCAGCGGAGGAGTGGTTCCCGCAGCCAGCAGCGGGGCCGCAGCCATCTTGGCGCGGTTGGCCGCGATCTGCAGCGCCTTGGGTAGGTTAGAGCTGGGAGCCGCCTGCGCGGGCGAAGTGCTGCTGGTGGCGCCGCCGCAGCCAAACATACCGTTAAACATGGCTTCAGCACGTTGCACGTGACATCAACTTGGGCCAAACTGGCTGATGCTAACCTTCGAAGCTGAAGGATGCTGAAGTCAGGTTGGCTGCATCCTAACATATATACCCTGTGAGAGTCATGGATAGTAAGCGCAGGGCTTGGCAAAACCTTCAAAGGGATCCTGCAATTCCACAGCATCTTATCAGTGCAGATACAAGACACCCGCTTCAAAACTCACCTTCATTGATATAATACAGTATCCAAATGACAATCATGAATCATTAATAATTAAACCATTGGCCAAGAGTGTTGAGAAATGCTTTAGAATCCAAAGTGACAAAATTGAGGGTCATTGGGTCTTAGATATTTGACCCATATGAATCCATATGATGCCCAGTTGTTACGCAAAGTTCAATCCCGACTTTTGCTGCTGCATGATATTTTCTCACGCACATCTTTGTTGAATCGAAATGCATAATTGAAATCACCAATCTTGAGATCCAGCCATCATGATCACCACGGCTGCAAGATCAAGGCCTCTGCCAAGAAGTTGATGCTCATCTGAAGGAAGAGCATGAAGACCAAAGCCAAAAGGATCAGAAAGACATAGAACGACCTCATCTTCTGAGCCAACAGAATCAACAAAGCCAGCCAAACTGGCCAAACTGGCCAATTTTAATAACAGTGGTGGACCATTTCCCCAAGGCCCTTGGGGATCCCCCTGGGGATCCCCTGGGCGACCCCTGGGGCGCCTGACCTTTGGTTCTCCAATCCGATGCATCGGTCCACCCAGGGACAGTGGTGGTCCATGCGCTGGACACAGCAGCCACAGAGCTTGCAGTGGAAAGACCTGCGACCGGCTTGTGGCGACCGGCTTGGGGAAGAAGACGTGGCGAAAAAATGAGTGGTTTAACATGGTTTAACTTTCATAGTGCTATAGTTAGTGGATATGTTCGTAATTGCTGATTATCTCAGTATATCTCAATACATCAAATGGCTGACAATAATGGTTATAAGTGGACATAACATGATTTAAAGCCACATCAACTGGCTGGGGAATCACCTCTTTGGGAAATCAATTCAAGCTAGTCTCACCTGTTCCACCCATCGGGCATAATATGATCTAGCTGGTACATGACATTTAGTGGCTATAGCCACTACTGTAGTCTTTCCCTACCACCAAATCGGATGGTTTATCATCATTTTCCTTTTACTGTAATATCTATCTATCTATCTATCTATCTATATATATATAATACATATAATCAGACTCAAATGGACTGCGAAGGGCGTGCCAATTACAAATCTTTGGGAAGAAACTTATGCGGACCGTCCCGGAACAGTGACAAATGTCCTCCAGTAATAAAACATGGCGATGGAAAATGTCCATTTCATTAAATCATATTATATTATATTGTATTATAATATGTTCTATTAATAAAATGATGTGGTCTGTTCCCAGTGCCATTCACGGGAAACCTTTGGCTGCGACCACAGCTTTGAGCAATGATCGCACGGCCTCATAGAACGAACGCCTCGGCAAATCACGCAGAGAGTCCTGGCTTCGGAGCACACACGGCGCTGATGGTTTGGAGTGACGTTTTTTTGGGACATAAATTGATCAGCGATGATTTGGAATGACTTTGGATGATTGGTTAACATTAATTAACATGAATTAACGACATGTCAAAGCATTCGTCCCTATGAAACGCGAGAATCTTCATTCATCCAGAGTCGACTTTGGTTTCTTAACCACCTCACCACATCCCCAAGTTGAGCCCACGATGACCACATCACCTGTCCTGAACTCGCCCTCCATCGCCAGTCGGGCATATTCCCCAGACTGCCTGCCCCAAGTGCTCCCCCAAGTGCAAACTCTGTTGGGTGGTGTCAACCTGTCCGACCCTGAAAGAAGGGATGACTATATAATATACATTATACATACTGTATACTTGAATATCCAGCAATCAGAAATACATATATAGAAATATAAAATTGACACGTGGGGTCTATCCATTAATGGTTTCATTTGCCAGAGAACCTTTCAACCTGCCTGATTTGGGCTGCCATCTGCAATCGGGCGAAAATGCTTGACCCCTGGTTGATTGATTTGGCTGGGGTTACCGGGTTGCTATTAAATAGTGATAGTCCGCTACTAAAACAGTACCCTCGATGAAACGGCCAAGGGGGTTATGTATCTGGAATTAGCAAATGACATTGCTGCAATCTTACTTGTTGAGACATCCATCTTACAGACTGTGCACAATTTTTGTATGTGCATTTTTCATCCGGCACCAGGTGTCTTGAAACTGCAAAGGAAAACATTGTGTCATTTGCTTCACGGTCCAAAACTGATGACAGAATCCTTTTGGGTTCGAAGCCCTTTTAGCCTGGTGACCAGGACAAGAGCTAGCATCGCTTTCCAAACTTTGGGGTGCATTGTTTCTCTTCAGAGATCTTCAGAGGGACCTCCGAGTTACAGTATTTTGTTGTTGTTGCTGTTGTTGTTGTAGTTTTTTCTGATGTTCCAGTAAGACGAGATATTGTTTTGTCATGTTTTGTCATCCAATAACAATTCGTTGCCCATGTTATCACCAACATGATATTGATGTACAGCCCCAATCTCGCCCCAAACCCATGACGTCGACGATCAAAGTCTTGGTTTCCGAACGCTGAGATTTCTTTGAATCTAGCAGCGCCTCGCAAGACACTCTCTCGCTGTTGAACCTATTAGAAAACCACGCACTGGTTGATTCCTGGGGATTTCACCAAAAAAAACAGCAGATCCTACTGTACAACGAGTGAATCTGTGATTGATCAATGGGGAAAGAAAAAAAACATCGACTCAGAATATGGATGAATGATTTTTGATTGTCACCCATGAAAATTGTTGATTGGATACATTATGATTATCTCAGCTAATCTATCTATCTAGCAAATGATTGAGAACCTCTAAATCACTAGTCGACCATCCTCCATTAGTTGATAATTGTTTTGGGTAATCCCCAAAAAGAGATACCATTATATCACTAACTATATTGGTTGATAATTGTATAATAATCCCCACATCAGTATGATATGATAATTACCAGTAGTACCGCACAAGGCGGTGGCGGAAGTTTCAAAAATAGGAAACCTATAGGAAAGGTTGGTTGTTGTGAATCACGGATGGCAGAGCGAAGCCACTGATGGACCGAAAGGTGGTTGAGGTCTCTTCTCTTTCTCTCTCTTTCTGTCTCTTTCTCTGACCATCTACCTACCTACCCACCTATCTATCTATGCATCCATCTATCTCTCTCTGTCGTGAAGTGCAGTGTGGTGTAATTAGTGTAGTGTAGTGTAGTGTAGTCTTATAGTGTCTTATATAGTTGTAGTTGTTTGTAGTTAGTGTGACGTAGTGTAATGTAGTGTAGTGTAGTGTAATGTCATTAGTGCAGTGATGTGTAGTGTACTGTAATGTAGTGTAGTTGCAGTTGCAGTTGCAGTTGTAGGTGTAGTGCAGTGTTATTCAGTGTAGTGTAGTGGAGTGTAGTGTAGTGTAGTGTAATTACTGTAGTGTAGTGTAGCGTAGTGTAAATGTAGTATTGTTGTAGTTGCAGTTGCAGTTGTAGTTGTAGGTGTAGTGCAGTGTTATTCAGCGTAGTGTAGTGGAGTGTAGTGTAGTGCAATTAGTGTAGTGTAGTGTAGCGTAGTGTAAATGTACTATTGTTGTAGTTGTAGTTGTAGTTGTAGTCGTAGTCGTAGTCGTAGTTGTAGTTGTAGTTGTAGTTAGTGTAGTGTAGTGGAATGTCGTGTAGTGCAATGTAGTGTAGTGTAATTGAGTGTAGTGTAGTGGAGTGTAATGGATTGAGTGTAGTGTAGTGTAATGTAGTGTAGTGTAGTTGTAGTGTAGTGTGGTTGTAGTGTAGCGTAGTGGAGTGTAGTGTAGTGTAATGTAGTGTAGTGTAATGTAGTGTAGTGGAGTTTAGTGGAGTATAATGTATTGTAATGTAGTGTAGTGGAATGTAGTCTAGTGTAGTGCAGTGTAGCAAAGTGCAGTGTAGCAAAGTGCAGTGTAGCGTAGTGTAGTGTAGTGTAATTGAGAGTAATTGAATGTAGTGTAGTGGAGTGTAGTGGAGTGTAGTGGAGTGTAGTGTAGTGTAGTGTACCGTAGTGAAGGTGTAGTTGTAGTTGTAGTGTAGTGTATTGGAGTGTAGTGTGGTGTAGTGGTGGTTGTAGTTGAAAATACTACAAAACCCTCACGTTTTGCTCACTTTTGACAAGATCCACAATCCCTTGCACCTGCCACGCGGAACGACATCTCAACGTCCAAAAGTGGTCCGAGCCCCTGGTGTTTTTAACATTTTGACTTCGAAATGTGCTTCGCGCCACAACGGCGTGCACTTTTTCGACATCTCAACTTCCAAAAGTAGTCCGACGCTGAGGTGTTTTGTACATTTTGACTTCAAAATGTGCTTCGCGCCACAACGGCGTGCACTTTTTCGACATCTCAACTTCCAAAAGTAGTCCGACGCTGAAGTGTTTTGTACATTTTGACTTCAAAATGTGCTTCGCGCCACAACGGCGTGCACTTTTTCGACATCTCAACTTCCAAACGTGGTCCGAACCTGGTGTGTTTTGTACACTTAGACTTCGAAATGTGCTTCGCGCCACAACGGCGTGCAATTTTTCATCTCTCATCTGGCCAACTGGCTCCGCACCCGCCGCTTTAGCGAGCCTACTTTTCGACCCTCCGGAGACACAAATCATTGGAAAAACACAGTGTTTCGCGACTTTCCTACCTTTTCGCGCACCTGCATCTTCTTTCTTCTGACTCTTTCTCTTCTCTGATCTTCTCTCTTCTACTCTCCTCTTCTCTCTGACCCTTTCCATCTCTGCTTTTCATCTGTCCATATTGTCGGAAGTTTGACTTCTAAACTTCCTTCGATCACTAACTTAGGACTGGAATTTTGTACTTTTTGATCTGCCAATAGCCTGATCCCAGACGCTGCCTGCTTCATCCATCAGCTTCAGGGCCCTGGAATTCAGGTCCTTCTCCACTTGCCTCGAAGTTCGACAACGGCCAGCTGGCAGATTTCTACTCCAGATTTCTGGCATGGACACTTTTAATGGGCAATAAATATGAATAGATTGGAAGTCATGATGATATTTCAACCAGTGGATGGAGAACATGATGGAATGAGGTACCCCATTTCCAGACACACCCAAAAATCTAGCGACTTTGAGACTTTGCAGTCACTGGGAAAGGGATGTTCTATTCTTTTTTCTGACAAATGCAGTGGTTATCTTAGTCAAATCTGGTAGAATCTAAGTGACGGGAACACATCCAGAACTTGGGTCGATTTGAATGATGGAACCACTGTAAACACAAAGAACGTCACAGTCTATGACAGAATCCGCTTTCAACCCCATTCTTGGGCTTGGGGTTCCACCAAACTTTTCAAGTCGTTTTGTCACCTCGTGGGAATGCAATAGGTTTCAGGACCAAATTACCGGAATCCGAAATGGTTGCCCCGAAATATAGGGGGGTTATTCGTAAAATTTCCCTTAAAACCTGGGAGCTGAAACATGTTCCCTCTTTGGGGTGTCCCGGTCTATCAAAATCTGCCAGCCCCGGAGTCCTCTCGCCTCAAGTGCGCCTCCTTTTCTCTTTCAGCTTGGTGGCCCTGCAACCGAAAACAGCTGGCTGTTACATCACAAACAGCAACTGGATACAGCCAACTATCTGTACCCTCTGGTAAACTAATATAACTATGGAAAATCACAATGTTTAATGGGCAAATCCACCATAAATCACCAATTTTCAATAGCTATGTTTGTTTACCAGTACCAGAGGGCAACTATTTTGATCTACCAGGAATAGCCAACCCCATCAAACCACTGAAGCCACATGGCCACCGCATATGCCACTGCTTGCGCCTCCGCTTGCTGCCTTTTCGCAGGTGGCACGGGGAGAAAATGAGACACTTGAGATATGTTTGCTCCGTCACCAGAACTCGTTTTGGAATTGGTTGCCGGAATCCCCCTAATGTTCAAAACACACGAAGCCGGTCGAGGATTGCCCCTGCAAATGCAGATCATCATGATGTTCAATCCTCAGATCTAAAAATGAGTCATTTTCCACCACGATTGACTCACTGTGTATGACAATAATCCTGGTTGATGGCTAAGAATCACTGAAGCACTTTGAACCAACTTAGTTGATCTAAAACACACACACAAACACACATAACTTCCATTGGTCGTGTCCGTGCCGAATTTCCAAGCCCCTGATTGTGTTTTTTTAGTTTTACTGGCATGTTTTTTCTTGGTAAAGATGATGTTCTAGAAACACTGGGATTCTTGGGCTTCCAAATTTCGATACCACCCCCGACCACCCCCCTCACTTTTTGGAGGCAACTCCCCCATCAAGCATCACCTTAGGCTGGCCAAGTCATACTTCTCCAGCAAGGCTCTACAGAGCTGCTGCCTAAGCGATTCAGGCAATTTTGCTAGTCCTACCAGCAAATTGTCCGTAATTTTCCAATGTTTTCCCTGGGGTAAACTTACATGGTGGAAAAAAAACAATGGTTTCCATAGGAAATGATCTCCAAAAGGGGGATGCTCATGGATTTCCAGATCTTACTTTACTGTATGGCCTTGTTGGTTCAGAAATTCTGGGCTGTGAGCGTTGTTAAGATAGATCATGTATAGGCATGTATAGACTATAGATGTATATAATACCTGATGTATTCTACATTCTACATGTATACTTACTACAGTTATTCCACAGTTACTGATTGTCATGGAAATCCCATTGTAGACCTTTTTCCAAAGCATCAGCACTTTGTGCTGGTTTCGGCTGGGAAATTTTGGGTCTCCGCTCCGGCGAGACAAGCGCAACCAGCGTTGTTGCACCTGCTGAAGTGTGCCCTTGAGGAACACCAACATTGGTTTGGATTTCTGGATGTTCATCCCAGCAGGTGTGTATGTAGTATATGTACTGTATATATATATACATATAGTCATCCTTGAATAGATAGAATATGGAAATTTCAATACATCCCCACTAAAATGAGAATATTTTTGAACAAACCCCATATTCTATCTACTTCAGGATGATTATATATATACCTTGACCCTCCGAACCCGCAAAATTCGCAGGGTGGCACTTAAAACCCAGGGTTTCAAAACAAAACCCAAGGTTTTTCTATTTCCACAAATTTCAAGACCATGCCCCCAAATGCTCTGATTTTATTAATGCGGTGGGTCATCAAAAAGTGTTGCATTTCTGTCCAGTCTACTGGTCATCGACGCCCAAACACAAGCCCAACACACAACAAAAACATATTATATTTTCACTAGTTCCAAGGGGTTCCAACCCATGTTTATATCATGGGTGCACACGGGTAAATCACGGGTTGAACATGGGTTGAACACGGGTTAGAGAAAACCTGGTTATTTTCAAAATACACGAGGTTTAGCCTACAAACCCTGGGTATTCCTCAAGAAAACACGGGTTGACACGGGTAAATCACGGGTTGAACACGGTTTGCTAGAGGCTTGAATTCCCGACCCGTACTTTTCCATGTTGGGGTTGCGTTTTTCTCTACTTCAGATGTATAATGTAGATGTGGTTTCCTGACGGTAAGGCTGAATGGAGGAAAATCTAAGAAACATATGATGAAGCAAAGTAGGAGAAGTGTTGGAAGCAAGCACTATATCGAATTCGGACAGTTTGTAAGAAAACCCTTGTTTTTTGTGACAAACCCAAGGTTTTTAGCATGATCACGGCTAAACCCAGGGTTTTAGTTTGCACCCGACAAATTTGTAGGGTTTGGAAGCTAAGGGTATATATACATACAATATATATACATATAAGAACATATGGTGTAATAATATAGGTATGTAATAGATCCATGGGTGTGTCTTGAAAATGTCTGGGTATACTGTGCACACCGCAAATGGCAACGTTTCAATAGGACGGTCATGAACGATAAACTTCCCATCTATCAATAGGTGGAGAATAGTTTTAGGATGTTTTAGGTGTTTTAATCAGATTTGTTTTTTATTTATGTCCCGGTACGATTTGCCTTGTATTTGCGACAGAACCTTGCATTTTGCACGGTATTTGCTACATTTTGACATGTTCACCTGCCATTTAGCATGGTATTTGCTACAATTTAGCATGTCCGCCTTCCATTTGGCACGGTATTTGCTACATGTTGGTACTTCAAACGTTCATGTGGGTTTCTTTAGGTTACTTGAGGGTTCCTTTAGGGATTCATTTAGGGTAACTTTCCGGTTTCATTTAAGGTTACTTTAGGGTTTCTTTAGGATTTCATTCAGGGCTTCTTTAGGGTGTGTTTAGGTTTCTTTAGGGTTTCAGTCAGGGTTTCTTTAGGGTTTAATTTAGGATTTCTTTAGGGTTTAATAGTTTCATCTATATAGGTTTTCTTTAGAGTTTCTTTCGGGTCTCATGTAGGGCTTCATGTAGGGTTTCATTCAGGGTTTCTTTGGAGTTTCTTTCAGGTTTCATGCAGGGCTTCATGTAGGGTTTCATTTAAGTTTTCTTTAGAAACAGGAGAGAATCAAGCAAAAGAAAAAGAACAGCAAAGAGCCAGTAAAGAAAGGAAGCAGAGAAGCAGAGGAGCAAAAACGCATGACTGCAGAAAAGAAAAGTATACGTAGAAAGGCAGAGAAGCAGAAAAGCAGGAAAAGCAAACAAGCGGAAAAGGGGAGAAAGAGGAACAGCAGAAAAATAAAAAAGCAGGGATCAAAAAAAAGAAACAAAACCTGATAACCTGATCAACAAAAACCTAAAATAAACAGTCCTCCTCTGCAAATGATCTACTTGTTGAACACCTTAGATTATTTGAAATAATCTGAAGCTGCGGATGGTCGCGGCAACCATAAAATTGCCCAAGGTTACCCTCTGGTAATTTAACATAGCTATTGAAAATGGCCATTTATAGTGGATTTACCCATTGAAAATGGTGATTTTCCATTGCTATGTTAGTTTACCAGAGGGTACAGCAATCAGCCTGTTATGTCTGTTCCAATGAAGACATTGTCTCAGGGTCGTGCAACAGGAATGAGCAGTACAATTCAATCGTTGCTGCTCCAAAATCGCTGATCAAGTTCTCAAACTAACTTGCGCGAGCTGACTTCACACAGGTAGGATTCAATGAGTAGACCATTCCATCTGCCGACATCAACCTTAAGGCTTAGGGAAGGAAAACGCATATCGCTGACCCATGGATATCCCATTGATATCCCACTACTGTTCTATTAATAGTCCATTAACCGTCCATTCATATCCCATTAATATCCCATTGATATCAATTTAATATTCCATTCATATTTCTTCAATATACCATGCACATATTCCATTAACATATTCAGTTGATACTCCATCAATCTCATTCAATCTCCCATTTTCCATTGATATCCCATAAGTGGAACCCCTTTATTAGCCATGAAGTTGATCCACTTAGGATCCACTTCCAGATTGGATCCAGAACTGGTTGGAACCAAAACATCCCATCGCTTCTCCGGGTCCCACCGTGGCGACGGCTGATGGGGCGCAGCCGGCGCAGCTCGCCCCCTCCTGGCATCGGGGCATCGGCGGATCTCATGGAGCTCGGAACTCAAAATTGGCTGGTCAAGTTTGGTCAGTTAAGAGTTTGACAATTGTCATGATCAAATAAGGTAAACCATGGTAAACCAAAGTTTGGTCAGTTAACAAATCAATTATAGTGGTAAAGTTTGGTAAACACATGGTAAACTTTGCGGTAAACTATGATCGCTATGTCTTTGTCAGATTTAGCAATGATAAGAATTATAGTAAAACTATGTAAAACTTAGGTGAAAACAGACAACTATTTGAAGCCCAAAGGTTGGATGGTAAGGAATTGTGAAGGCCTAATTTGCCAAAACAAATGGCTGTATTGGACCCAATACTCTGACGAACCGCCATACTGAAGATTGCCAACGCCCAAGAAAGAGGAAGATGGTTCCAGCCTTTAAAGTGCCTGATTTTGAGATATCAAATAAACATCTCATTGAAAATCATGTACGGTGGATTGTCAGAGGTATCCTTGAAACATCATTTTGTATAATAGGTGTCTTTGGAAAGTCAATGAACACCATATGCAACAATGGACAGTCGGCTACAGTAAATCATCTTGGGTCATAATCTTGGATTTGCTTTGCTTGAGGAGCCCCCCAAACAGTAAGACATATTCCCTATAGATTCCCCAAGTAGTGGATTCTCAATTGGGAACACAAAAATGGTCAGCAAATCCAAGTCATTGGAGTGGGATCTGGTTCAATCTTCAACGAATTCACCCGACAAAAAGGCCCCAGTCACCTTCCTTGACCCGAGAACACCCCCCACATGTGACAAAAGACAATTCTTTGGGGATGATTCCTCCATTTATAACCTCCATATATTCCGCATTGTTTCCGACGTTTTTTTCCGACCAAAATTCCCCTGGATGGACCTCGTCCCATTCATCCTGCGGCCACAAGAATATGAATGTCATGTTTTGATGTATATATATATATATGAGCTACCTCCAAAACTCTATTGCCCCAAAATGGAATATCTATTTTTCCTTCGTTTTAAAGGGTCACCTTGGTTTTACAAGGGTTTCGACCAAACCTTCACAGATATACGTGCGATATCGCGCAGTCATCATTTCGAGCTAATGGCAGCAGCAATGGCAAAAGTTATATTTAAAAAAACGGTGCCAGGATGTGCTAGGATTAGTACTGTGACTCGTAGAAGCGACAAAGGTGCTAGAAGAAGCAACAGTGGCAGAGGCAGCGCAAGCAGCAGGAGCAGTAGCAGTAGCAGTGGAGTAGCAGTAGCAGTGGCAGGAGCAGTGGCAGTAGCAGTGCCAGTAGCAGCAGCAGCAGCAGTAGCAGCAGCAGCAGTGGCAGCAGCAAGTGACAGCAGCGACAGCAGTAACAGCAAGTCACAGCAGCAGCTACCAGCAGCTACAAGCAGCTACTAGCAGCTACTAGCACCAGCACCAGCACCAGCAGCATCATCATCAGCAGCAGCTGCATCAGCAGCAGCAGCAATCGCGGTGATGCCGGCGCTGTTGGTGCTTTGCTGGTGCTGGTAAGACAAATGCCTGCAGCAAAAGCACAACTAGGCCCCGCAGTGGCAATGGTAGTTGTCGCAGTAGTAACAGGATGGGGAAGAAGTTTTGCCTGCTCCTGGCCAGGTTCATGCCAAGCTGCTTGTCGTGAATTTTGCCTTCGTTTTTGCCTTCGTTCTGGCTTCGTTTCAGAACGCAAAACCAGCCGGGAAAACGAAACCGCCGGATGAAAAGAATACTTGCAGGCGGAAAGCGGAAACTTGACAAAATGTAAATGCAGCAGGAGGAAAAACAAGATAGGAAAAAAACAAACGGTATGAACAGAAAGAAACGAAGGCGGAAAGGAAGCCAACAGAAACTGTCACAGGAAAGGCATGAAAGCAAGAAAGGAAACAAAAGGAAGACAAGGGAAAACAGGTAAAGACCAAACGACAATAACTCCATGATACACTATTCTTGACGTTCGCTGCTCAAATAGAAATCTATCAACAAACTTTAGTTGTAAGGTTTGCCTTCGTTTTAAAGGGTCACCTTCGTTTTTGCAGGTTTTGAGCTATATTCCATTCCAATACATATCCCTTACATAGACCTTTTTGGCGGTAGCCCATATACATATATTACATACCTATGTGTGTGTAATGACATATATATATATATATATGATTAATTGATTAATCATCAGTAAACATACTGAACGTTTTTCGGGTGGAACCATGCACGTTTATTGCGGTTGTTGTGTTCCCAACTTAGGTGCTGCTGAACAAATGAAAGATCACCCCATCATGAATGTACATCATGGTGATGTCGGGCCTCATCATCTCTGGAACGAGCAAATCATATCAAGTTGTCTCAATCTGATTAGACATGGCTCAAACATTATCAACTCCTAGTTGTTTCATCTATCTATATAATCTGTATATATATATACGTATATTGAAATAACCCAAAACACATCACTGAAAATGTCATACCCCAATTTCATACTTTATCATACTTTTCTCGATGACGTTCCCAAACAACAACAGTTTCTGTAAATTACAGCTTGCCCCATTTCAGAACAAACCCGAAAATCATGTTGTTGGTTCTATCTCCCATTGTATTTCATGACAAAAAAAATATTGTTGATACCTATGTATAGCTATATTAGCTATATCTATTATTTGTAGAGATATTCTGTATAATTTGTAAACATCTATAATTTTATAGATATTCAAAGCTCTTTATCCCCATTGTATCTACATCCAGGGCCAATGGATGTAGGAGCCTCATCGGAGCGCCTCCCAGGAAGGGGAAGAGTTCAGAGCCAAGTTTCTACCTAAAAAATAATGGGTTCGCTTTAAGGTAAACCTGATAACCCGGAAAACTCGTTGAATTCAGTGGTTTCTGTGTTTTTCTGTTCAACCTGAAACAAAGAAACCGGGTTCTGCTGTTTTAGTGGGTTTTCAGGCTGAAATCAAAGAGATATCAGGGCATCGTGGCATGGAACAGGCAAAAATCATGATGACTGGTTGGTGGTTTCAACCAATTTCAAGACCTGGGTTCAACATGGTTCAACCATCTCAAACATATTAGGATGATGACCAATGAAACGAAGCAAAATCAATGGCAGTTGACAAGTCGGTTATATTCGTGTGATGAGAAATCTAGAACCATCCCAGAAGCATTCCGTGCTTGGGGGCATTAATTTTGGATGTATACTTCTATGGCCGTGGCGCAACATGTCCGTAGCGGGTTGAACCTGGTTTCCGTGGCGCATCCTCACATAGTCGGATAGTCCGATATTCCCCACCAACTCCCATTGGCTGGAACAAGCCTCCATAGATCTCCCATGGTTGATTGAGATTGATTCCAATGCCATTCTTGATGATATTTATATTGGATTCCAATGGTACTATCCTATCGGATGATATTTATACCACCCGGTTGGTGGTTCAAGCACAATCTTGCACGGGTCAACGGATATCGTTGTCAAGACCAATATTTGCTGGTATCAAATTCCAATTTCTTATACCAGATTTTCAATTCCGATAGTGAAACATGCCCATATTTGATGCTTTATAGCTGCTAACAATCTCACTTGTGTATTTCTATTCAAGGCAACAAAAGAAAATCAAAAACAAACAAAAATGATCAAACATGTTTGAAATCATCAATCAATTGATTGGCGTAAAGAAAATCTTAGAAACCCATGGGGTTTTTACCATCCCCTGCTGTTGCCTGAAGGTCCGCGAGGATCGCGAGTTCCCGGAGGGCGCCGGGTCGCAGCGAGAGCCCAACTTTGGGGCTACCTGCCAGGGTGAAAGGGCTATGGCTGGCATCCATCTGGTGATTGTCTGAACATTTCGATCTACTGAATCTACTGGAGATCTGGATGGTGTACAAAAAGCATGTTGTGTGTGTGTTTGTTTTTTTACCTGGTTAAACAAAGAATTTACTTTTGTGTGGTTTTATCCTCTAGTGTTGGACAAAGCCATCTAGGTAGGTCATTTACACTGGAGTCCAGCCTTTTTTTACCCTCATTCTCCTGAAAAAATCCTCTTACCAGTTTCCCTATTGAGTCATGTCATAGTCCCTTTGGTTCTACAAGTACCAAATGTTCTCTTGATCATCAATTGAGTTGTGTTTTTTTTCCTTGCTAAACCGCAGTACACAAATTGGGACACCTACGCGGGGCCTACGCAAACCACTCCTCCCATGCGAAACTGCCTACGCGAGGGTTACCTTTTAAACAGTGCCTACGCGGTTGCCTCCGCGAAAGTTGCTGCAACGATCTCTTTAATTGACGTGATGTGGTCACGATTCTGGTTCAGAGGAGGAATACGAAGAATTGGAAGATGACGATTCTTTGGATGACTTGTGAAAGGAAGGCGGAAACCTCATCAAGCGTGGAGCACTTTGTCATGGAAGATAGTCAGATATTGTTGAGCTTGGAAAAACTTTGGATGGGCTACGCGGCCACAATTTGACCTGAGGGCCTACGCGTTTCCTACGCGAGGGCCTACGCGGAGCCTACGCGAAAGTCCGAACCGAAAATGGGTTTCTGAAAACTTGGCACTGTAATTTTCTGAAAAAGCGTTTGTTTCTTTAATTTCCCTTTCTTCCAGCTATATGAATCATACAATCCAGTTTGCATGCAAAATCATTGTAACCCACCAAGAAGAAACAAGAGTCCGAGGTCAGAAACAAACAATCTAGAACACCTAAACAAGCGCCTACGCGAGACTGCCTACGCAGCCTATCCTACGTTATCCTACGCCATATGCCTACGCAGGACCTACGCACCAAGCTGAACAGCCTACGCATGAATGATGTTAGTTCCTCCTCAATCTAAATTCCATCATCTGGAAAAAAAACGTGGCTCAATTCTCTTGCAATCCAAGGAGGTTTCATCTGATTATTCCCTGCATTGTGAATTGTTTTCTCCTGAGATAGTTTTTCCCCCTACAGTAGTTGAAACCACGTTTTTGTGGGTCAACTCCCCCATTGTTGTTGGCTACATCCACATGTTTGCTGGTTAAAATTGGTTAAACGCAATCACGCATGGCATTGGAGAAATTGCCGTTTATAAATTTACAAGCATCAATGATTTTCACAGCTGTAAATCTGCATCTAGTTCACGGAGGGTATATACCATTATTATCCTATTGATGTCCCGTTATTATCTTATTTACTGTATTCCTATTAAACCATATAAAACTATATTACCTTGTTGTGTCATTAGTCATTGCTATCTCTATTATTCAATTAATATATAAAGCCATATGAGGTATATTATCCCATTATCCAATAAGTTTGAATTTTGAATTTACAATTTACTTACCTCATTATTAGTCACTATTATAAGTCTCTACTTGTAAACCAATATTAAAACCATAGAACCATATTTAGAACAATTAATATCCCATAAATATCCCTATGCATATACCATATAAGACCCCGATCTTACATGGTTATATGGTCTTAATATGGTTATTTTCCCATTAATATCTATATGGTTTTATATCATCCCACTCATATACCATATAAGATATATATATACATAAATCCCTTGGACATCTTCCATATTAATTCATAGATCCCATAAATACCTATGTAAAACATGTAAATCCCTTTATAATATCATAGAAGAACCATATTGAAATCCCATTACTTGGATTTGCTTAAGGGGTCCCCAAAAAATGAACAAAAAAATCACAATAGATGCCTCAAATGGTGGATTTTCCGTTGGGAACATAAAAAATCACTTTAAACAAACCCAGGATTAATATCCCATCTGAATTTCTTGGGCCCAACTTTCACCACGCTCTTTCTTCGGGGCACCTCGTCTTCCACCTCCTTGGAACTAGACCACAAGGCAGCCCAGGGGGACGACTCGGCGCCCTGGGGCTTGGAATGGGGGGTTTGCCATTGACAAATGGGATTTTTAGGAAATTCATGGGATTTTGTTAATGGGATTGTTAATGGGATTCTCAATGGGATTCTTAATGGGATTCTTGATGGGATTGTTAGTGGGAATTTCATGAGATAATGACCCTGCATTGTCGGATGGATAAAGGACATCATGAATAATGAGTACTATAAATACCCTCTGGTAATTTAACATAGCAATGGAAAATCACCATTTTTAATGGGAAAATCCACTATAAATGGTGATTTTCAATAGCTATTTTGACATAACCAGAGGGTACTATAAATACTCAACATCATTTATGGGTCATCACATGTGGAGAAAATCCCCTACGTACCATTGATGATTAATTCATAAAGTTGGGGGCATTCCCTAACGTCTATGAACCAGCAACAACCACTAAGAATAGGGTTGAAACTATACCCATTGCTACACAAGTGACGTACCAATGAAACCATTTGTCATAGTTTGTTTGAACATCTTGGAAAACACCCATAAATCCCATCGTTTCAGACCACAATTTTCCTGACTTGGTGGTATACCCTCTCGTAATTTAACATAGCTATTGAAAATGGCCCTTTATAGTGGATTTTCCCATTAAAAATGGTGATTTTCCATAGCTATGTTAGTTTACCAGAGGGTAAAGGTTCCGCATGATGGAACATGTCCCAATGGCTTTACCAACTGAAATTTGGATTTCGTATTGCTTTGTTTGATCGCTGGGGGGGTATACCCTCTAGAACCTATATAGAATCTAATAAGGGCGAATCCTGTCCATCTTTAATTGGTTGGTGATCACTTGTGGAGCGCTTGTTTGAATCCCCATGACTACCGTACATCTAGATTTGTCTGGGTATCCATCAATTTGATTCAACTACTACCACTTATGAATAATTTCCGTGCCAGGAGTTACTAGGCTCTTGGGAGATGGTTGTTGAAACAACAAGCATCACCAAGCAGATCCCCGGGTCCCTACCGAGTCCCTACCTTTGCGAAATGGGCTGCGTATTTTCGGACCTTTGGCATTCAGACTAAGAGCAATTCTCCATGCATAAACTGTTATTTTGAATGGTTACAAGTGGGTTTCCCCCTGGTTATAAGTTGGTTTCTGAACCCATCTAACTATAGTTAAAGATCATCCCATCCCTAGTTAACCTAGGCAAATTAACCAGCGTAGCTATGCGGCAGCATCTTGCACATATCCCAAGTCCCATAGAAACATCGGCATCTGGGGCCCACCATGCGGTCGATCCGATTGCTCGCTCTCTGGGTCGCTGCCGCCTGTGTTGAATCATGTGTTTTTTTTCTTGAATCACGGTGACTATGCAGGAAAACATGGCTTTTACATGCTTTTACTGGTAAATATCATTTTACATATTTAGGATGTTTCTGCAATTTCTCCGATTGAATTCTGGGAAATAGATTCAAAAAAAACGTATCTTGCACTATTCGACATGCCCCATGATCATCAAATCGCGGGCTCCAAGTTTCAGGTTTGACATCTTTTGACTACGTGACTATGGCTGTGGGAAAAAAACTGAAAGACCCAGAAGTTTTAACGATTCTTAGAATCCACATATACCCAACTGCTTTCTGTATGCAAAAAATACCAAGATTTACATACCCAACACATGATGCGAATGTATGCCAATGTTGTTAACAATACCATTACGAACCTGTTGAATATAATAGTATAATATAGTACAGTACATGTATATATTACTATTTTAATTGCTGTTATTATCATTACTTATCATTATTTATTGTTTATTATCATTATTAATTCACTATTGTTAACATTAATAATTATTAGTTTTCTCATTACATTGTTATACATACATACACATAAGATGGTTACTATATAATAAATATGATTGTAAATATTATATATCTAATCATAATATATACATATATAATTATATGCATATGTATCAATGTTATTACCCATAGGATCCATGTATGCTATATATGATAACATTTACCATCAATATACCCCAAATGTTAGCATATATACCATACATGGATCCTATGGGTTATATATACTCACATATAATCATTCTGCTATTACACATTGTCACATATATATATATTACTATTTGATTGTATTTGGGCATCAAATCCCATGCTTCTCCCGTTAAAGAACGGGCACCTTCGGTGAGCGACTCGGGCCGCAGAGTCTCGTTAACTCCTCGGCCTGAATGGTTTCCGACGAACTAATCATCCCTTACTAACCCATCTGTTAGTAGCGTTGAGTTGGTTCGTCATACAACTCTGATTCATGGCAAACATTTTTTGAGGCGATGGGATTTATAAACCAACTTGTAGCTGGGGGCCATGACATAAGAATTCTGGTGGTTTCATGAGTTTCATAGGGGATGATTTAAGGAAACATCTTGGAGTCTTAGAGATGAACCATCGAAAACCATGATATGAAGGTTTCCAAAGTCATGGGGGTACCCCCAAATCATCCAGTGGTGGATAACCATCCACACGACTAGTGACTAGTCTTTTGTTACCACCATGGTGACGACTGGAGATCCTGCAGATCCCCCATGACATCATAAATCCATTGATCCATCATCAATCACCAGAAAATCCATGAAAATCCCTATCATTTGATGGCCGTTTTTGGGGGACATACTGTATACAACAACTGTATACTGTATAATTACATTACTGTTTTTTTTCTGTATACCCTATTTTCATGCACATGTTTCCAACATTAGACTTAGACTTAGACCACGTGAGTATTAAAACACATGGTGTTGGGGATAAGTGATCTTGGGCCCTGCCTGCCGATCCATGGGAAGCTGCATCAGCTCCGCAAAGCGCTCCAGCTCAGGATCCTCGAGTTCAGTACATGGCGAAGTGCCAACCTCCTTTACAAAAGGGATAAGTTGCATCAGTTCATATCAGTTGTGTAGATAATTGTAGATATCTTTCAGGATCAACATCTGAAACCGGGGGGGTACAACAAAGAACCTACTGTACCAACAAGAAATTACATCTGCGCCAAGAAACAAACAGGTGAATCCGGATGTTGATGGACTTTTTCTGACCTTCTTGGTGAACCATGGTGAACCCGAATATGTTCAACATGTGGGGTTCCTTCCAGTGGATTTTCGTGGATTTTACAGGAAGACGTCTGGGGTTTGATGTTGGAGTTTCGAGCGCCAAAAAATCCCATGTCAGATCATTTGGGTTTGTCTGAAAATCGGATACCCCCAAATCTAGGGGTTTATCATCATTTTCCCCATTCATATTGACATGTGCGAGATATAAAACCAGGCTTCATGACCATCCAACACCTCTCCTGCTCCTGAGTCGCAAAAGCAAACCTGCAGGGTCAACAGAACCAGAGAAGCATTTGATCAATGGCAATTTCACTCTGCTCCAATGGTCCAATGGCCCAAATGCTATGCAACTTGAAAGTTCCCAGAGATGGGCAATCCACAAATTGGAAGGCCTACTGCATGGTTTAGCAGGAAATTTACACAGAGTGGGCTGTTTAACATTAGATGGGATTAAGATGGATGAAGTACAAACCAGTAGGCACCATCGGGTGAGGGTATCCCCGCGTGTTTGGACAGCAAAATTCCGTTAATTGAAGGCCCTGGCAAGCATAGATGTTGGCCATAACTCTTTTCATTAGATAATCCAGATTTGATTTGATGTTTGAACCTATCCCAGCAAATTCGCAGTTGGGATAATCATCCAAAATATAATCCATTTAATAGTGTTTGAACAACTAGAAACTGTTGGTTCAAAATATTTGTTTCGCAACATTTAAAAATTGTAACTATTAGATCTCATCCATCACACCATTTTTTGACAACAACTTGGTCAAAAGCAAAAACATTAAGAACATCATCAAAAACCATCCTTAACATCATATAACAATGACAATTACAATGAATATGTATATTGAGATGAATATGTTCCCTCGAAGCCCCGGGTTTGCCCACACTCAAACACCACATCCAAACAATATGGTATACTTCTCACCAGAGGATGAATGAAAACACTGGCTATACTCCGTGATTTTGACTTTAGGTTTTCAGGATTTAGGGTTTTCATTTAGGGTTTAAGGTTTTAGGGTTTTAGGGTTTTAGGGTTTGTTGTTTTGGAAAGTAAAGAACTTAAACCCTACGGCCCTACGCAGGGATTTGAGCATTGTTGAGCATCCGCGGGCAAACCGTTTGGGTTTGCAGCGAACAGTCGTTTCATCATATACATATCCTATGTTGTCATAGATCAATAAAACCAATATATTATGTAATTTAACAATGTGTATAAAGTTAAACATGTTATACCAACATATGATTGCCATATATCAATATATATTGTCATAATATATTATTTCATCATATTATCCTATATTGTCATATATAAATAACATCAATATATGAAATATATTTATATTGTCATCCGTTGTCATATATCCATAAAACCAATATATTACACCCAATCGGGAGAGTCAGTGCACCGCCTCTTTGAAACACAAATCACATGGGACGCCGCGCTTTCGGGAAGTCAGAGAAGTCAGTGCAATTTAATGTAAATTAGCAGCAGGACCAGCAGAACCAGCAGTAGCAGCAGCAGCGACAAGACAAGACAAGGCAAGACAACTCACGTATTTCCGGCGATACTCTGGCGATACCCCGGCGATACCCTAAAATGGAAAAAAAAGAACATCATTTCAACACAACCACAAATGTCAAAAGGGGAAAACCCAACAGAATCCAATTCCCAATGGAACTGACACATTAGGGAAATTCCGAACCTACAAGAACGCAGGTAAAAATATCAATAATCAAAACCATGTTTTCCAAACACAAGCTGGACGCAGCACGCATCGACTTCCACAATTCTTTCCCCCCAACTAGACGCAGCAAAACATGTGAATGCATTGAGTTTCCAAGTGGCGAGTATGTCATCCATCCCAATGACATGTTCATTTAACAACCGCCCCCCCGGGGAACCTGGGACCAGTGAAGCCTGGATCCGACCTGGGTATAGCTGGATGGTACCAGTTCACACATCCCACCTAGAAATGGATGAGAAATGGTCAAAATGGCAAATCATGGGAAAATCATAGGAACATCATAGGAAAATCATGGGAAAATCCATGACAACTGGATGATGTTTATGGGGTACCCACATGACAAGTCGGACACCTCCGTCATTAATATGCTGACTTGACGACTGTTGTCGTGGGGAAAATCATCGAACTACAAACATCCAATGAGGATTTTCCAGCAAGCCATGTCCGGTAAACCCAGAGTCTATTTGGTCCGAACCTTCATCCAAATTTGTTTGGAGTGAACATTCAGTTTGTGGGGTTCCAAAAAAAACATCATGTGCTTGTATTGATTCATGAAATTTGGGAGGCAAGTCATTTCAAGCCGTGAGCAAATGAGGATGAACACCACTCAAATGAGATGAAGCAGCAACTGTATATATCAACGCATGTGTCTATTGTATAATATTATATCAATATATTATTATTATTAATTATTATTATTAATTATTATTATTAATTATTATTATCATTATTATTATATATATATGTATCGATTATGCCATAGGGATGAAAGGCAATCCTTCTGGGATGTCACACTTTCAGAGCTTTCAGGATACTCCCATCATGTCGCACTGGGGAATGGCAAATGGATGGGACATCCCCACGGAAAAAATGGATATAAATGGCGGTTTGTTGGCACACACAACCGGACTCTGGAGGATTTGTTCATGACTAGGTTAGATTACCAAAAAACGGATCACAGTGGATGAGGGAAGAGCATTGATGGACCCACATTTGGAACATGGCAAAACATGCAAAACCATAGATTTCCCCCGGGGAAATTCTTGGTTGCTCAAGATTCAGTAAGTCCAGTACGGTATGGATAGTGGCACCTGCCACCTCTAAGAAACAAATCGGTTATGAAAAGAATCTATGAGAGCAATAATACTAGTTCGTTGATAGGTAGTATATGGTAGTATAAGTCCCTACTTCACAACCAAGCAAATCAACGATGTTGCCAAAGTTGAGTATCCCGTGGTATCCACCACGTTGACTTTCCCTGTCAAGACACATGGACAGGTGCCACCAACAGCAGACCACGCAGCTCAGCAGTGCAAGCCTGGCCCGCCATGGACCGAGTTCCAGGCAAGTCTGCGAATTGTGGCTTTCCGCAGCCCCCCAACATGCTGACTAGATTATTATAGATTTTCATATGTGATTCCATCTTCAACACAACTTCGGAACAGGTCGCTCAAGGTCATAGTTGATTCCATCTTCAACAGATCATGACAAGAAACTCTGTGTCTGTGCTGATGTTTGTCAGTTTGCCGTTACCGTGTCCACGTCAAGTAAACTCTTTGGTGCTGGTAGCCCAACCGAAACAGGCCCGTGGGACCATAGCATCGCCTGCCGCGGCCGAAAAATCGATCAACTGGTCACCGGGTCACCGTCCGCAACAAAGTCCCGAAACAGAGACAACCCAAAAAAAAACATATGTAGTAGGAGTGTGTGTTAATCCTATGATCATCATGATCATGATAATGATCATGATCATGATAATGATCATGATCATCATCATCATCACCATCATCACCATCATCACCAATCACCATCACCATCATCACCATCATCATCATCATCATCAGCAGCAGCAGCAGCAGTATTGGTATTAGTTATTATGTTTAGTATAAAGATCAACATGGTCTTTAGTTGTAGCATTGTTATCGTTGTTATTATCACTATTTGTTCATGATCACTATCAATATCATTATATATCAATATTATCCTTATTGTCACTATTATCATCAGTGTCATTATCATTATTTTATTTATTGTTAGTACATATCATTTATTCTCAATATTACCATGAGTCTATGAGTATCCCAGATGCTCCATGTATGATATATTTACCTACATTTACCCCAAAAATGACCCAGTTTTGTAGTTGAATATTCCATACATGGAGCATCTGGGTATCATTATTCCTATAATTGATAATGACGGTTACCCTCTGGTAATTTAACGGTTTGCTATTGAACATGACCATTAAGAAATAGTTGATTTTCCCATTGAAAAATGGTGGATCTTTCCATAGTTATGTAACAAATTACCAGAGGGTACTTATAATTACTGTTATGGCCATTGGGATATATTGGGATGATCCCAATTCGTTGCAAACATCCCACTGGCCCCGTAGCCTGGCCAAACGGTGGAGGTCCAACACGACCCTTGGACCTTTGAACAATCCCTTGCGTTTGTGGGTTCATAGGTTTGAATTCTGATAGATCATGATATAATTTTCAACATGTTCAACTTTTGTCAACCATGTTCGAACCATCTCCAATCCTATCGGTCCTATCGTATGCAAATAGAGACTACAACTGGCACGGGCCCCAGAAACATCCCTCGGGTGAACCCGGAGACCCGGCACCTCTGTCCCTGCTGGCTCCAGTAAGGCCAGAAAGGTCAGAAAATTCAGCCTCTGGTAGGTCTGCATGGCGGTGCCCCAAAATTGGATGCGTTGTGGATATACGATTCAAACACTGTTGTCTATATATATAATATAGTTATAATGATATAAAAATATATAGGTTTCTTTAAAGGGTATAATGTGTTTCGAGCATCCTCTTCCCCATATTTCCCAAGGATACTCGCCATCAATCACGGGCAATTACGGCGGAGAAACCGGTGGCTTGAATAACGTGAAAGGTATGAAAGTCCCTTGAGATATCCAGGGTAATAAAGATGGAAGCCACCAATTTCAAAGATGCTTCGTTCAAAATGTTCAAACTCCAACCAAATAGCCGCTGTTTCGGACGTCTGAAACCCCAAATCAATGATACAAGTACCAATAGGTGATTCGCACTTTCCAGAATAGAAACTCAGACTGAAAACACCTTCCCAAAGAGAAAAACAAACACATGTTCAACCGCCCATACTTCAAATTTATCTACTTAAATGTTGCTGATTGAATAAGAATATGATTTCCACAAGCAATTTGATCATTTGATCATTTGATCATTTGATCCACGTCCATTGGAAACCCATTCTCGAGCCACATCCGCTGAGAGGGGAACAACAGCAGCGTCCAAAAGACCGTGGTCCAAGCCTGCCGGACTGCGTGAGTCAGTGCAGGCGGTCAAAATATGAAACTTGGGGCCCCTGGTGATCCTTCCCACAATTGGGAATCCAAACACAATGGAAAATGGATATTTATATATATATATATGTATATATATAATGACATATATATATAATGACATATTATATATATATTATAATGACATATATACATATATACATATATACACTGATTTTATATTATAATGATCTTATAAATCCCTATGGAAATGGATTGATGACCATTCCCCAAGGGTTGAGCTAATCCCGCTTTTGACCATGGCTCATCGGTTCTTAAGAAGTGCGCCTTTGTGTTTCTACTCATCGACAGAGACGATTTTACTTGGCCTTCCCCAAAAAATAGAACAAAATAGTGTGGTATATATATATATATATGGATAGTTGTGTATATGTATATTATATATATAGAGTATATGTATATTATATATATAGTATATGTATATTATATAGTGTCTGTATATATATAGGTTAGTAGAATATCAACCCTGGAAACCCTGGTACTAAAAGGTACTACATATATCTAAATATCAGTGGGAAGGGATTCATCCAACTTCCAACCCGGTGACAAATGTCTCCCCGGCATCACTGGGCCCCCTCACGCTGCGAGACAGTGCTGCGCGTACGGAGGACCTGGGCTCGAGCAGTTCCCCACTTCCAAAGATCACTACGGCTTATTTCATCCCATTTCAGTGGCAAAGGAGCCTATAGTTGTGAGCACATATGTATATATATATATTATAATATATATATATATACACATAATTATATAGTTATAGACATAGATTTGTAAATTCTACAAAGCTCATGTGGGGTTGGAAGATGTTGGAATCCCCTGTCACTGGAGTTGGTCATGTCTCATCGTGAAAGGATCCGGATGCAGCTTTGATTATCTACAGTAATAATTAGTAATTATAATATAAGATACATCTACAAGGATCTGAATTCCCCAAACTTGTTGGACTTGATACTGTTTGCCTTGCTATCACCTCAAACTATACTGAAAAATAATCTGAAATATGGATCTATATGGATCTTTATCACCCTTCGGTAGTGAAACATTGCAATCCATGAGAGTTTTGGCCCCCCTGCTTCAGTGACAAGGTGTCAGCCAAGGCCTCACAGTGTCATCCATGGCCAGTTGTGTACCATGGTGGTTGCAGCATCCTGATGTACCCTCTGGTAAACTAACATAGCTATTGACAATGGCCATTTATAGTGGATTTTCCCATGAAAAATGGTGGATCTTTCCATAGTTATGTTAGTCATTACCAGAGGGTATCCTGGTTGGTGCAGCCCTGAAAAAGTTGTTGAACATACTGAACATACCTTGGTAAAAACATGTAAACACATTCTCTATTGGATCCTGCAAAGACTCTGATATCTATGATTCTATGGGGGGTTTCATAGAAGTCCCCCCCAAAAGAATAAAGAAACAAAAGGAGTTTCAATCCATGTCAAACCAGGTGGGACTACACTAGCTGTTGACCAGCATGTACCACCAAAACGACCCAAATGCGGCAAAATAGTCAAATCAAATAGAGCATACCGCAGGTAGTATCCCTTCTGTTGAGGTTGGTGCGCACCAATGGTATACCAACATATACCAACCACATATTATACACAGTATATATTGTGATCATATGATACAATATGCATGGCATGAGAAATGTTCATGCGACGTGTTCATGAACAAAAACGAAGCAGTGATGATGTACACTAAGTATGACTCCTACAGTCAAGTGAAGACATGCATAGAAACCCGCCAGCCACTCAGCCAGCCTGCGGAGTTGAAACCCTTGCAAGTGGTTTTGTTCGAACATGAGCTATCAGGTATACCTTATACTTACCTCACATCCTCTGGTCAATCATCATATGCCATCATACTCCTATGATTTCCTATGTATTTTGTTGTTCCAATATATTCCCAAGAAAAAACCCATGGTATCAAATAAGGACATACCCAAATTGAAGGGGTGGACTGGTACCACGCACTGTCGCGCACCTCTGCGAACTCCACAAACCACAACCAGCAAAACACGTGCAGTTGGCCGTGCCTCAGTCAATCAAGGACGTTCCGATGAATTTTCGTCGATCCGTTGAAGCGTTGCCTGGAGTTCTCTTTTGAATAATCTTCGAATTTATTATATTTTGATATATTTTGTTCAATGATGTTCAATGTTTGTCCGGATGATCTTTTGAGGTCTCCAATGTTCATTAATCTTCAACACAGCCACCCTGGTCCCATGTTGGTGAAATTTCAACGCTCAGTTCCCTGCTTCCAGGCTAAGGAAATGGCGCCATCGCCCATGGTATCGACACCTCCAGCACTGCGAAATGGCGAGATTCAGGACACGTTCGGTGCGTTCCAAAAGTGGAGGATATAGCCGCCTATGACAGAAACACATAATATATATATATATGTACTGACGGAAATCGTTGTTTTCCTTCCGCGCGTTCCCAAAACGTCATTCTAACTTTCAGTCCGTCAGTACATTATAACATGTTATAACATATATTACATTACATTTATATTCAAAGAATTATCGGATCATTCATAGAAATGGCTAATCATTCTGGAATCATTTTCGGATCCGCCTCTTTAAACCATCCAGCTATGGGGGTACCCCCATGGCCATGGAAACCCCCATATGTTCATAATATGTTGGAGTTTTCATGGTGATCTGACCGGACAATGCGATGCACACTGAACATTTGAACGACACATAACGATGTCGCGTGCGGCTACAAGATCGATCATCAGGGAACTTTGACTGTGTTGTGGGAGAAATTACAAAGTCAGCCAGTTACCATCCTAACTTGCGGGATCATCGAGTATCCTGGAACATGTCGAAAAGCTTCAAACCACTTTCAAGCTATCATCTTGGAAATTCACTGAACACTGAACATCTGGAAACATCCACATCTCACGATGCGCCAACAAGCAGCGCCGACTGGCACGATGAACTTCTTCTATGACTTTGAGCAATTCCCCAATAGTATAGGGGGTCAACCCCACAACACTAAGCAATCCACCAATCTTAAGAGGGGGTTATGAATCGTGGGTATACCATGGTATACCGGTATACCCCTAGTTGGGATGAAACTGGTACAGCCTACTGCGGATCCCACATCAAACCAGCTAGCAAATGAGCTGTATGTTATCAGTGAAAAATCCTTCGTTGCATTATACCGCTTGGTTAATAGGGATTCCCAGTTCATATATGATGATACTGACCAATATATTCAATATATATTCAATGTATAGAGGCTAGAGTGTACTATAATCCTTTATGATCCTCATCAAGAATATGAACACTGCTCAATAGCCCCCATTGAGACAGGATGGAAATGAATTCATACCTGAAAACCACCAAGCAGCCAAGGTGTTGGAAACCTTCTGAGCTGAGGAATCATCTGGGTAACTTATACAATCTACTTCACCAACCAGCATCATTCTAGGCTTCGGTCGCTAAGCTGGCCACACTGAAGGCTCTTGGTGCTCGTTGAATCCATCAGCATCTGTCGGAGCCACAGACAAAGGGGCGAAACATCTTAGAATCTGTTAGAACATCAATGAACATAATACCCTATGGTAAATAAACATAGACCTTGGAAATCACCAATTTGTAATGGAAACTAATCTTCCAACCCCGATGACTGCCAGGGTCTATGTTAATTTACCAGAGGGTATATGAGGGTATATCATACCCATACTCAGTGATTCCTCCTTTGAAAACACCTACAAAGGAACCATAGGTTTCCATGTGAAAATCATGAAACCTCCACGGTGAACTCAAAAGTCCCTGGTCCGCCTTGATGGAGTCGTGACGACCATGAGCACAGGCCAAATGGAGGGCCTGAAAGATGACATTTCACCAATGGACAAAACAAAAATGGAGTAAATGGAGCAAAAAATAACAAAAAATACTGCGAACACGAGGAAACTGATGATGAAACTGGATGAAACTGGATGAAACTGATAGCCTCAGTACCCAGGAATCACAGCCAGGACATAGTTCCTGGCAAAGGTTCATCCTAGGCAGTTCCCTCCGCTAGCCCATGTCCCAACAACTCCCCCAGGTGATCCGCTGTGTACAGCCACTTTCCCCATCTGCCGCAGCCAAGTCGCATTTCTACCATCGTTATCTCTTTCGAAGATAGAGGCGTTGTGCGAAATCCTGAGCACTGGGGCTGAGGATGAAGAGTTCAACACCCTTCCAACTACTAATCCCTTCCCTTTTAAACATTAAATAGAATCAAACATCAATGTAATATAATGTAATTACCGCCCAACAATCCAACAAACATTCTGATTTAGTATTGGTTTCATCTTTTCATGGGCCATTGATGGCCAGTAAGTAAGGAGCTTAAACATTAGGGGCATCCATTCACACTGTCCGTCTCATCTCAAGGGCTCAGGCAGCCATTGAAGGCCGCGAGTGTGGCCCAAACGACTTGTGATCCTTGGACTTTCAAGGAGGGTTGAAGGATCCAACCGTGTTGGCTCCTGGGGAACATCTACACGTTTCCCCTCCAAAGGTAGGGTTTTTTCAGGAGGGTTGAAGGATTGTCTGCAGCCAACTTACGGAAACACCACGTGGAAATCCATAGAAATCATTCCTACACCAGGAAATTGGAAAATCCATAAATAAACGTTGACAACGAAAAAATAGCTGCCAGAACATGATCAACCCAACCATCCATTGGTTTATAATCTATGTTTATGTTATTTTCCTAAACATGAATATGTCCCATTATTTCTTATCACCCAAGCGTCACTGTTCTGTCATTTTCCTGCGAAGTGGTCATGTTTCCATTATTTTCATCTAACTATAATGGCAATTTTCCGTTGTTTTCCTATAGAGTCAAACGTAGCCATGGGAAATCCCCCAAACTAAATGGAAAACCTAAAGTCATCCATAGATAGGGGAATTTTCCAACAAGCCATGTTTGATTACCACCCTCTCGTAATTTAACATAGCTATGAAAAATCACCATTAGCTAAATCGAACTAAAGGGCCGTCAATAAGTAACTCATCTATAACTGTGCAATTTTCCATATATATACATATATGACATTCCCAGAGGCTTATCATGTATCATCACTATTTCAATTATCCATATTTCTCCATAGTTCTCCACATTAAATCCATATTGCTCCATCATAAATTCATATTTATCCACCATAAATCCATATTAAATCCATGTTTCTCCATATTAAATCCACATGTTATCCATCACAAATCAAAACTTTTCCACATTAAATCCATATTCTATCCATCATAAATCCATATTTCTCCACATTAAATCCATATTTTCTCCATATTAAACAACATTTCTCCACATTTAATCCATATTCTATCCATCATAAATCCATATTTATCCACATTAAATCCATGTTTTCTCCATATTAAATCAATATGTCTCCACATTAAATCCATATGTTCTCCATATTAAATCAATATGTCTCCACATTAAATCCATATTTCTCCATATTAAATCAATATTTCTCCACATTAAATCCACATGTTATCCATCACAAATCAAAACTTTTCCACATTAAATCCATATTCTATCCATCATAAATCCATATTTCTCCACATTAAATCCATATTTTCTCCATATTAAACAACATTTCTCCACATTTAATCCATATTCTATCCATCATAAATCCATATTTATCCACATTAAATCCATGTTTTCTCCATATTAAATCAATATGTCTCCACATTAAATCCATATGTTCTCCATATTAAATCAATATGTCTCCACATTAAATCCATATTTCTCCATATTAAATCAATATTTCTCCACATTAAATCCATATCCATTTTTTCCACATTAAATCCATATTCTATCCATCAAGTCATATTTTCTCCATATTAAGCAATATTTCTCCACATTAATCCATATTCCCTATTTTGTCCATATTAAATCAATATGTCTCCACATTAAATCCATTTTTCCATATTAAATCAATATTCTCCACATTAAATCCATATTTCTCCATATTAAATCCATTTCTCCACATTAAATCCATATTTTCTCTATATTAAGTCAATAGTTCTCCAGATTAAAACCATATTTTCTCCATATTAAGCCAATTATTTCTCCACATTAAATCCCTATTTTTCTCCATATTAAATCAATATTTCTCCACATTAAATCCATTTTTTCCATATTAAATAGAACACTATTTCTCCGCATGAAATCCATGTTCTATCCATATTAAATCAATATTTCTCCAGATTAAATCCATATTCTCTCCATCATAAATCCATATTTCTCCACATTAATTCCATATTTTCTCCATATCCCCAGATGTTCAAAGAAATTTCTCGCCCCAAAAACGGCTCATGTTCTCTTTCCCAGGCACAGTGCAGCCGACTCACCGTTGGCGCCCCGCTGCTCCAGGCTCACGCCTGGATTCAAGGGATTCAAAGGAGCTAACCTGTAGGGATATCCTGGATATCCAATCATATCCAATTGATATATATATATATATACATACATATTATGGAAAGGATTAAATTTGGATAAATTATATTAAATATCCAGGAATATACATATCCAATCATAGCCTTAATTCAGGTTAGTGATATATTATACACATATACATATTATATATCTGGGTAAATTATAATATTTGGGTCTACATTTTTTGGGGGAGATGGTATATCTGGTTGGTGGTTTCAATCCCTCCGAAAAATATTAGTCAATGGGAAGGGTTATCCCATATTATGGAAAATAAAAATCATATTCCAAACCACCAACCAGATATATCCTTGGGTTTCCAGAATCCATCGTAATCCATCTGGGTAAATTATGATATTTCGCTCACCTGAATTAAATAATTAAGGCCATTTGGGGATGATTTCCCTTATTAACCATGATTCCAGTGAGGGAGAACAGCGAGGTCGCTATACAAGGAGGGTCCACAAGTACGACACTGGCTCATGCTGCCGAATCAGGCCCTTTTTCTGTCCCCCACGAGTGTTTGCGGCGGGCCACAAACCTGAGCTGCAGAAATTCAAGCAACAAGGCGGAGAGATATATGCAGAAAGCACCGGCAGAAACAAAGGCAATGAAATGCAATCAGAGGCAGAGGGAAAGAAGTCATACCATCATCCTCCCCCATGCCCCTCTAAATCAATGTTGTTTTTCGCAAACTGGAGACTTGCTGGCATCCAAATATAGTACAGCGTCACTGCCGCGGATCCAGGTCCAATGAAACAATCAACTTTGATTTCGGGGCGAGGGGTTTTTATATGGGGCTGGGTACTTTCTATGCTGTCGGGAGAAACATGCAAAACGGATGGACCAGTGACAGCGGCTCCTTTAACATTTAATTAGGTGCAGTCAGCACACAGCTAGACACTCGGGAATCCTGCAGCAAGAAATTTTGCTACATTTTTCCCTCCAGAGAGTATGAACATGGTGAAGCAACATGGACATGCCGGGATGTCCTTCAAATTTTCGATTCTATGCTGGAAACGGTACATGGTCAGTCTGGACCGGAGCATCAGCAACTCACTCTCGGACCAGCACCCTTCCGGCACAAACAACGATTGCCAGTTACATGTGAGAAAAGTGGGTTGTGTCGGTCGAAAATCCAAATGGTCACTGTACAAGTTCAATGGCCGATTGATGCGTAGCGTCGCACTTTCCAACCATAATAAGGTACTGCTGACATCCAAGGCTCCATGGTCAGGTCTCCAATCATCTAAAATGACCACTTGGGACTGCGGCAAATCTAAGAGAGGATACGACCCTCGAGCTGGACAGGCGAACACCTCGGCTGCTCTGAGGAGGGCACATCAACGTCTGGCCGTCCAAAAAGGGGAGGCCACAAACAAGGAAATAAGGTCTACCATGTTAAGAATGCATGGCAAGAGTTGGGTATTGTTGGTCCCCATAGTTACAGGTTGATAGATCTCGATGGTACCAAGTCGTGAAAATCCCGTTACAAGAATCAATTCCCAGTTACTGGACTCGTCTCGGGCATAAACAAATATGTGCATAGTACTTGAGTCCCCCCGGGGGGCAGAAACTTGTCCGCAAGTGGATCTTTAAAAAAAATATGATCATTGGGAAACGGGTGAGGGTCAGAAACCATGTGATGTGAAAGCGGTAGCCAAGGTACGCGCTGGAAAATTTCACGAAATGGCTTCAAAATGAAGCTTTTGCCCTCGTTTCCGGAACCTGTGAAGCATACTGCATCCCCCTTCTTCTGCATGCCCAGCATGAGGGCCTGACGCAAATGTTGGCAAAACTTCCCCTCCTCAATGTTATTGTTGCGGAGAATCTCGCGAGCTGCTGGTGCCCAAGTTCTGTCACAACAACACTGTCGCCCCAAGGCGGCAGTGACACGCTTCCACGTAGTTGTCTGAGAATCTGCGATGACGCGATCACATGATTCTAGTGTGCAGCACATGGCGGCCTTCTCTCTGATGGTGTTGTTTGTGCGGAAGAGGTAGTTCAGCAATCTTTAATTTCCGGAATTTCGCCCATGCTGAAGGAGTTTAGCAAGCAGGACAGGGTCATCGGCAGTGAGCCCAAGTTCTTTCACTATTGGCCATAACTCCAAGTCAGAGAATTTGCATGGCCCACGCTTGCCCGCAGACCAACGCTGCAAAAAACGCTCTGCCACCTTCTCTTCAATTGCAGTACTGTCCAAGACCCCATTGATCGCATCTAGAAGAGGCGGATGCTTCCGGCCCCCACTGCACCACAACAAGGGATCTTTGTCCAAGGCGGACAGGCCCTTCTTGTCAGATGGCAACCAGAGGTACCGCAACATATGGGCATATTGCATTTTTCTGTGCTTGCTGTGGTCATCAATAGCCATGTTGGCAAAATGAGCAATGTAGCCAGCTTTCGACAACTCTTTTTTCCATCCAACCCATCGACAAGGGTGCGACAATGCTGTCGGCACATGGAAGTGCCACTGTCCACTGCCATGCGTCTCCCGGAAGACGCAGGCATGCGTCACGCAAACATCCGAACCATAGCCTGCAGCGCCAAATGCCTGCAAGACGGTCTCAAGGATGGTTTCCCTGGTGGGAGCATTGCTTGGATCCAGGTTGGAGAAGGTGAGCAGGTAAGTCTTTTGGACACATTGTGAATCTATTTGTGCTGGTCGCCCGGCATGCGCCTGTGGCTTGTTCACAGCAAGAAGCAATCGTCGAGAGAGCTCTTTTGGAACTGCGGACATTGTAGCCGCTACAAACTCGTCTTTCTCCTCCAGAAGTTCTGACATGCTGATTTTGTTGGAAGCTTTTGCCTGGATATCGTCCAAGATGATGTTGATTGAAATGTTGTGGAGCTCCTCATCGCTCTTCTCACGAATCACAGCTGCAACCAAGCCTTGCACAGTCTTATACTTACTCAGCAACTGCCAACGAATAGCGGCATCTGCATTTTCATGCCCATCATTGTCCACAGCTTCAGCAAGGGCTGCGTTTGCAGCATCAACACTTTCCGCTTCTGCAGGGCCCGCCTCACATGCATGACTCTCGCTAACTGCAACAGCTGCACTCGCAGCAAGTGGTAGAACATGACCGTCCTCACTATCTCTTTTTTCATCATAGCATGGGGGAGGCCTTTGCTTTGACCGCAATCTCCGGCGCTTCATGCCATTGAATGATGCAAGCATACGTGTGAATTAGAATAAAGCAGCCTTCAAAAACGCATTCACATTGGCATATGTTATATGGTTGTTGATCAAAATTACTTTATCCGCAAACGGCCATTCTTCGTGAATAAACATGTTACTTTCGCAAAACTTTCGCAAACTCCACGTTCATCTTTCGCGGAGCCCATGTTGGGCAACAACGCCTCTTATGAAGATTCGTTCACCACCTGCCAAAGTACGCCAGAGAATCACGGATCACTTCTTGATTGCCTTTTAAACATGCAGCTAGCATCACGGAATCCCTTCTCAGGACAGATTGTTGCTGACTCGGTTTGTTTTTGGCAAGGTTTACTGACCCACCCCCTTCAACATGGACTTCGACTTTCGCCCGCTCCGTCGCAGAACTTTCGCGGACCGTTCGCGGAAATATCCCTCTTCACAGACCCTGGCCATCAGCGGGGGTCGCATCGAAGGAAAAGCGAACACCAGGGGCCTTGGTGTTTGGCTCTTGCAAAGCCTCCCTTTTGGAAACTTGGCTGCTGCATGTGGAGCTTCTTTCTTGACACTTCAAAAAGCATCATTAGGCAGTGACAGCGGCAGGTGCAAGGATGTGCTTCAGGACCATGGTGTTTGGCTGTCGCGAAGCCTCACCTTTGGAAGCTCGGCTGCTACCTATGAAGCCACCACACAGGCAACTGAACCAGAACCAAACCGAAATCCTCCGGTGCCCTTCTCCTGCCAGACCCCGGGCGGCAGTGGGTGGCAGCCCGTGACAGAATGAGGACAATGTCCAACTTTCGCGAAACTTTCGCGGATAAAAAGGTTACTTTCGCGAACGCGAAAAAAAACTTTCGCACGGGTTTCCAGCATAACATGAACGGTCTTCGCAATTAAAACTCTTTGCAAGGACCTTTAGATCGATTACCATATAGGTTGTGACTCCTGGGCTGTTTTCTACAAGGCTGCTCAAAAAAAAACTGCGGCTGACGATGCGGCTGCAACTGGACAATGTGTAAGATATACCATACCATAGCTCAGCTCAAGTAGATCAAATATTCCGCCATCATTCCGCCATTTCTTACCTGCTTATCTCATTCATTGATTCATACTGCATTCATACTGCGAGTCATACTTTGAGTCAAACTGATTCTGTCACTTCAGTCTGGTGCAGTCAGAAGTGATAGTGCTGGCCGGGCTAGGGAGTAGAGGTCAAGGTCAGAGAGTATAGAGACAGAGACAGACAGAGACGGAGAGAACAAGGAAGAGAGAACAGACAAGACAAACAGCCACAAAGACAACGAGCAGGACAGGGAGAGAGAGAGGGCAAGCAGAAGAGAGGGAAACAAGGCGAAAGAAAGCAAGAGAAAGAGAGAAAGAGCACCAAAAAGGGGCAACAGCAGCACCAACAACGACACCAACAGCAAGAACAATCACAAGCAGCAAGAACAACAGCGACAGGAAGACAACAGCAGCAACAGCCACCAGAAGCAACAGCAACCGGCAGCAGCAGCAGCAGCAACCAGCAGCAGCAGCCAGGCCAGCAACAAACAACAGCGACAGCAGCAGCAACACCAGCAGCAGTAGCAGCAAGCAGCAACCACAAGCAAGCCAAGGGGCCGCTGCGTGTAGAGCTCGAGGTCGCTGTAGGCACCTGCACAGGGCGACAATGGCAGGAAAACAAACGAGGGGAGAAACAGGGGAGAGATACAAGAAGACAGGGACAAAGACCACAAGGAGGACAAGACACAAACGAAAGAAACGCAGGCGCCCTAGCCACGGCCAGCCGCAACAACCCAATGCCAAATCTCATCTACTTGCGAACTTAGGAGGAAAATCTAGCCAACAAGTGCCAATATGATGTGAACCCTCCCTCCAGGTGATGGCGCTGAAGCCGATGGCCTCTGCCATAGCAACCCGCATCCACCAAGCTGCCGCATCCACCACAGCCACCGCATCCACGAGCAACCGCCACAGCCAGCAGCAGCCGCCACAGCCGCCATAGCCAGCAGCAGCCGCCATAGCCAGCAGCAGCCGCCACAGCCGCCACAGCCGCCACAGCCGCCAGCAGCCGAGCTGCCGGATGTGGCGAATATGCTGAAAATTGTGTGATGAGATGATATAAGGATGAGGCTCCGGGAGGTGAGTGTCAATTTGCGTGGTGCAATCCTAATGTAAATGGAGCAATCAGGGTAAGGGGTGGCGAAATAAGGGTAAGACTTCCAGAGTGCAATCCCAATGTAAGTGAAGCAAATAAGGTTAAGGATTCAAAAAATACAGGGAAGACTTCCGGACTGCAATCCTAATGGAATTGGAGCAAATAAGGTTAAGAACCTGGAAATTCACAATCAAAAGAATTAGATGATTCTATTCATTTTCTTATTATGTGGACTTTCTTAACCTTATTTTGCTCCGTGCCTATAGGATTTGCCCAACAAGCTCCTAACAGTATTTTGAGATCTCTTAACCTTATTTGGCTCCGTGCCTATGGGATTTGCTCAACAAGCTCCTAACAGTATTTTGAAATGTTTTAACTTTATTTTGCTCCGTGTCTATAGGATTTGGCTCCAAAATCTGTTCTCCACACCAAGGGTAAAATGGCAAGGGCGGAACATTTGATCAGCTCAAACCGCATGGCCATGAGAATTCTGACTTTGCCAGAGGCCGCAAAAGATAAAACATCCAAAGTGATTTCGGCACATGAAATTGGGATTGGCGAAGGATTCAACATGGGAACCTTTGAACCTGATGCCTTGATTGAATTCACATTTGTCTCTCCTTGCAACATTTTCGAACGTAACACTCCCTGACATGTCGCCCTTGGCTTTCCAAACAGTCACTTTGATGACCCAATAAGCGGCTTTTTTCAAACAGGCGCAAGGATGTTGACTTCAACGCCTTCGGCATATGCATCCGCATAGCTCACCTTCTGCTTTTGAAGAAAATGAGGATGATTTCTGCTGCAGCTCAACCGCATCCTTTTCGGAAGCATGAATGCTGTAACCTCACTCAGCTGCACGGCGAGCAATGAGCCAAGCCAGGTCACCCGTCGTTAAGCCTTGGGCTTTTTTCATGAGACGAGATCTGCGGCGAACCTGGCAAGAAAGATATTGACAGGCGCGCATGCAGTCACATGGCCAACGTTTGTTGACATGCATCAACCCTGGCAAGCTCAGGGCTCATGTCCCCCACAAGAATGAGAATTTGAGTGGCACCTGCCTCCTTGCGAATCTCTTTGGTCGATTCTTTCAGCTGCTGCTTCAGCACGGCCCTTGCTGCGCCTAAGGCTGGCAACTGGTCTTGTCCACGAGTGAGTGGTGCAGCTCCAGCTGGCACTGCGGCAGCTGGTGCAGTGGCAGCTGCATCATCCGACATGGTAAAAAGAGAAGTAGCTGAACCACGGTGGGTTCCAAACGCTTGAGGCTTTTGTAGCAAAAAGGCTGCAGAACCCATTGGTCATCCCAGCTGCCCTGATGCATTTCCTGTACCATCTGCGTTGCATGTGAAGATGTTTGGGTAGTTTTCTGGTAAAAGTATCAAGAAACAGTTTATAAAATTTTATAAATATAGGATTATGTGAACCTGTAGTGTTTATACTATGACAAGCACGGCCTGGAACCATCACTGATACAGGGCCTACATTTCCAGCCCCCTAAAATGAAACCTTGGAAGCTTCAAGGCGATGGGCCCTCACAGTAATTTACCCAGATAGATATATATATGTGTGTGTGTGTTCCAACTGCTTACTGTAACGAGCTTCGTTGCGGCAGTGCGCACAAATAATATCAAATCTATTTTCGAATCATATCCAATAATACTCTAATATATTATATATATATGATATTCAACATGATTGAAACATAAACATATCCATAAAGAAGGATAAGAAGGGTTTATTAAGGGCTTATGAACTGACAATCAACAATAATCAGCTTATGAACCATCTATTGTGACAACATGACAGGATTGACAACGGATACGTTTAGATTAAATAGTTCGATGAGATGCCCATACTGTGTACCCCAACAAATATTTTAATGACTTTAAGAACCGATTCGATTTAGGACAAAAATACATGAACACCCTCTATTTGGATATATTTGAGTAAAACCAATGGTTTCTGAACAAACCAAAAACAACTCAAATCAACCCATTGACAGTACCATATTTGGTCAATACCTTCTATGGTACATGCCATCTAATCTATGGCAAATACCACCTATATCATCCTATATCCATTTTTAAAAATCGAGAATCCAGTACTTCAGCAGCTTTTCAACCGCAGATATTTCGGACACCATTCCCAAGCAGCCTTGAAAGTAGAGCCACTCCATGGTGAACACCTGGGGTGAAGTGAACATGATAACACCATCTGTTGGATAACCCCCAACAGACCCCTCAAAACTCACATGGAACCCCGAAGAAAGTGGGCTTGGAAGATGATTCTCCTATGAAACCTGATCATTTGTTTGGTGTCGAAACTGGATGGTGAATAGCCATGGTCTGGTTATTTTCCCAATGTCACTAAATCATACTCAATCCAGAATCATTAAAATAGAATTTGACTCTCTTTGAGTGCCCAATCCAGTACCCTCTGGTAAACTAACATAACTATGGAAAATCATCATTTTTAATGGGAAAATCCACTATAAATGGCCATTTTCAATAGCTATGTTAAATTACCAGAGGGTAATCTTGGCTGGCTCGTGAATTCACAGTTGCCATTGACATCCATTGGTCCATGATCATCCGTTCATGGATGACTGTCCAGTGATGGGCATGTTCCAGCCAGCCATGTTTGCTAAAAAAGGAGTGTTTCCCGCCCCAAAAAAATACACAACTGGATGGTTCAGATTACACAGTATTACACAGTACAAAACTTCAAAACATAAAATTAGAAGCAAATATAAGCAAATTGCTAGAACTTCAAAGTTGACCCGTCCATCCAGTATGTATGTTTCCAGTCTAAAGTTTGGACCCATCCCTACCAGTACCTTGGATCATCTTGGAACATTTGGAACGCAAACATGGCCTGAACTCCATCATTCTTTGCACAGAATATCTTCTGGCTCAAGCTGAGATATATAGATCACGCACGGCCAAACCATGTCAAAACATTGTGGCCAATCTTGGAAACCATTCACTTGGTTTTTCAAGAACAAAAGTGTGAAGGAATATAATAATATATAATAATATATATAATATATATATATATTATATTATATATAATATATATATATATATTATATACATATTATATATCTATATATATAATTAGATATATGCATATACATAATACAGTCCTATTTGTATCAAAAGATCAAAAAAATCAAAGTATGAAGCTAGTCATGACAGGTTGATCCAGACCGGATCTCGAGGCCAAGCAGCATCGTTGTTCTCGGCAGCGATCAGAAATGCCGTGTAGCCCTTCCTATCCTGCTGAAACAAGACCTGGCCGGGAGATGACGATGCATGGGGTGTTCACTTGAACATCTTAAACCATGAAAATAGGAATTCAACATCATTTCACAGCAGCATTCGGAAAAATTGTGGAAATTGCGGTGATTTGGTCACTTTGACAATGATCATGGCCGAAAAAACTGTTCAAAAGCAGCCATCCAAAGGCCACACCGGGCTCCCAGACGTCCTTTGAGGTGTGCACGTTCTTGTCGCCCGTGAGCATCTTCATGGCTTTGATCTGGGCACCGGCACCCAATAGCACCGATGTCGAAGGGCCAAAAGATTCCCATCGCTTTTCACATGTCAAACTTCCCGAAAGCCTCCAATTTGGTAAATTGACCTTGGAATCCTTGGAATCCTTGGAACCCTTCCGCAACAGAGGCGTTTGATGCTAAACATTGGCCAACAAAAAGCATCAAACACCCAAAGCTGCAGCTGGAACTGCACTGGGCCCTCCCGACGTTTTTGCCGGCCGCTGCGGCATGCACGGCGTAGGAACCATTAAGGTTTGGTATGTCCTGCGGTGAAGATGGGGGGTTGACCCCCAGTTCAGGTCATTTCAAGAATGAACATCATAAGAAACCATGAGAAGCCAGTGGGTTTGCGGGGACAAACCCAAATGCAACTTGGGGTCTCCTGTTTTAACTTCATGCTATGATCATGTTTGCTTCGAATCCAGCTAGCGGCAATATTAAAATGTGTTCCTCTTGGTATGACAGCAAAACTGGAGAAAGGAAAAACTGAGATATTCATCCAAGAATGGTGATGTATGTATTGTATGTATGTAATGTAATGTAATGTAATGTCATGTCATGTCATGTCATGTATGTATGTATTGTATGTATGTATTGTATGTATGTAGTTCTTTGTTCACATCCGAATTGTTACTCTACCATGGCAGCATTGAAAAACACGGCCACGCTCCGTGCGGGCATCATGGGCCAGAAGTAATGAGCTGAGGCCGTGCAGGCCTTGGAGGCGGGCGACAGGATCACCATCCCGCAAATATCCCAAATCACCATAGGAAAATGGGAAAATCATAGGAAAACTATAGGAAAACCATAGGAAAATGGAGGTTTACCCTCTGGTAAACTAACATAGCTATGGAAAATCACCATTTATAGTGAGTTTTCCCAATTAAAACTGGTGATTTTCCATAGTTATGTTAGTTTACAAGAGGGTAAACCATTTCCACATGGGTGGTATATTTATGATTGTTTTACCCACATGATTTCATGTTCATCATGATTTGTCCAGCAAAAATGTGGAAAACGGTGGAAAACATGCGGCAACACCCCAGTTGTAAAACTGGAACAACCAATCTGCAAAACGTCCAACAAACTGGGGTATGGTCAATGGCCATTTCAGGATCCTAAATTGGAGGTACCTACCATATATAAGGCCTATTTTTCAGGCCTATGTAAGGGAATATCCCCACAATATATGGCCTGAAATATGGTACTAACGTACCTCCATTTTAGGATCCTGAAAGTCCCATTGATATGGCCGAGGGAACCGATCATTATATGGGGTATGAAGCCCAGCATGTGACCGAGGGCACCCGTACCTAGAAGGCAAGCCCAGTGCAAGGCCGTGTTACCTTGAGAGTCCTGGGGCCAGGTATAGCCAGTAGAAATTAGATGTGTTGCCAAATTGCCAGTTTCTCTGGATATATATATATAATAAAATACCATACAATATAATATAATACAATATAATATAATATACTTTAATATAATATAATACAATACAATACAATATAATATGATGTAATAAAAATATGGTATAATATAGTATAATATAATATAATATAGTAAAACAATATATATATAATATATACATAACATATACATAGTATAATATATACATAATAAAACATAAACATATTCTAATATATACATAATATAATATAATATAGTATAACATAATATAATACAATATAATACATTACAATATAATTCAATATAATATAATATAATAATATAATATAATATAATAAGATAATATAATATAATTTAACAATATATATATACATCTTAATATATAATCACGTAATATAAGATAATACAATATAATAATATAATACAATATAATACAATATAATACAATATAATACAATATAATACAATATAATACAATATAATACAATATAATAAAATAATAAAGTAATAAAACAATAAAAAAAACATAACAATAAAATAATATACAGCAATATAATATAATACAACAAAATATAATACTACAATATAATACTACAATATAATATAATATACTATACTAAAATATAATTAATACAATACAAACTGTAATAAAATATAATGTAATATAATTCAATATTATCTAATCTAATCTAACATAATAAAATATAATATGATATATTAGTATAGTATCATTATATATATATATGCACCTGGATACAGTCTATAGATTATAGATAGTATATTATATATATATTTATACACGTAATGTTGAGGCCTCAAGGAGAAAGGAGATGTGACGTAGACTTTTGAGTCACGCTGACTGAGTGACCTTGCCATTAAAAATGCTTTGAGTCTGGGAATGTCTTGGTACTGCAAGGGCTTAGAGCATCTTTTAATGGCTTCAGTTTCGTCCACCTTTCTGAGCTTCAACAGCTCTATCGAGTTTCTCCCATCATACTCATCAATTCATCCATTGTAAATCTAGTTTTGACAACTGCTAAGATGTTCTCTATCTTTGGAAATTCCAAGTGCCCTAAACATATCCCATCAATTTATGTCCCGAAAAAACTCAACGGCTCCATCAGCGACTTGCCTCATTTCCCCCGAAATCGGCGTCCTGCATATTGACATCATCACCTGCAGCCAGCCTTTCAGCCACAAGGTGAACTTCTTGTGCTCGCGCCGCCTGGGACGTGAAGGATTTCTTCATGGATGGATGGTTTTTGTTGGGAAAATCTTAACTGGAAACCATAGATTTTCCCATGAAATATGGGGGAAACCATGGATTTTCCCATGAAATATTATATGGGGCTTTCTGGTGAATGTTCCCTGAAACTCCATTGAGTTGATGGATGTTGATGGATAAACATATTTCTGGCCCTACCTCGGCGAGGTTGATCTCCCCCCGGCTTCTTTGGCTCATGGCGATGCGGCCGTGGAAGGCCCAGTGGAAGGCCTAGAATGGCCTGGAACTAGGCGACTTTTAATCGCAGTTAGCCAGTTAGCTATGGTGTACTCCCCAATGATAGATGATGATAGATGGTTCATAGAGACTTTACATTCCACTACCTCGGTATCTTGGTGGTCTCTATATGTCTCTGTAGTTGAAGAGGGCACCTTTGGGGAGGTTGAATCCCAACGACATTTCCCACGATGTTGCCGGGAGGATCATATGGGACTTATCTGTCCATCTCTTCTTTTTGGGTGCCATAGTAGGATTTGTTTAAAATACTAACTATATATATATTATATTATATATATATTATATATATATGTTGCATTAAAATGCATTGAACTTGTCGATTTTCGACATGTCACATGGTCCCAGACGCCAACAGTTCTGTCCAAGAGTTTTCTAGCTATTCACAGGGTTGCTTCGGCAGGAAAAGTACTGGTAGAGTCCTGACAATTTAATATGTCAATATTTGATTCCATTTTAGGGTTTTAGTATGTTTTAGTATGTTTTAGTGTGTTTTACCGTAGTATGTAGCACCCTTCCATTTCATGACCCTTGAAGTTCTTCAGCCAGATGGCGGCAGCATTTTTGAGGCTTATGACCTAATTGCCATGGTCAACCAACCTGATGTAGGGCCCCACATGAGTGGTGGCACATGGTGGCACCAAACGATACTGTGGCACTAGATGCTTCTAGTGAAGTCAGTCTTAAGATGACTTGAGGCACGTGTCAACCGCGGATTTCAAACTGCGTTACTTGTGTGACGTGTGACAAGTTGAAAGGGTGACAGGTTGCATTCCACCACCTTTCGACATCGTTTTCTACATGTTTTTACTGTATTTTACTGTCTGTTTCTCTTGGTTGAGTCAATGCTGAGTGAGAAGATATGAGAAATGGCTTGGCATTCTTGTAACTTCAGTTCTCTGGCAGTCAGATTCACCAGAAGCGCGAGCCCTTTTCGTGCCAAACACAGAACGCTCCACTCGCTGTGCGAACTCGAGCCGGACAGCACGAGATACGATGAGGTGCCAGTGCCAAAGCGAACCACTACACACAGAGGTGAGCAAATGAACCAGCGGAAACATACAGAATCCAAATCCATTACTTTGCTCTCCATGTTTTCAAGACTTGCCATCTACAGCATCATGGAAGTCCATTGAGATCCGCAGTCGGTCCCCTGTTGAAACGTCCCATTCTCCACTGGCCGTGCGAGAAATCTCTCATTCTGGCTTCATGGCTTCTCCTGGCAGAAGGCCACGGGAATCTGGTGTTTTTCAAACATGTCGATCTGTCTACCAAAAGAATCAAAGATTGGGATAACCACTGCCAATATGTATCCCATTACCCTCTGGTAATTTGTTACATAGCTATTGAAAATGGCCAGTTGTAGTGGATTCGAACCATCAACAAGTAGCTGGTGATGCCCCAACATCCTCCATTGTACATCCTCCATTGTCCTTGTCAGAACATCGTCCAAAAGAATGCCAGTTCTAGTTGAAATCATATTTATGCCAACACTTATTATAAGTGTATATGTAATGTATATATATATACATAAAGAAATAGTTTGTACATGTATACAGAACAACCTATATACATATATGTATTTTACTCTATCTATATCTATATCTATCTATCTATATATATATACATGTCATTCCATGTCCGTATACATAGCTAGACTCTGACCTCACCAGCTCTGCACGGCCTTCAATCTTCTGGGCCTTCGCCGCTCCGGCGCTACTTTCCGCCGCGAAGGAGGTCCTTGGAGGGACGTGCCATGGATCCAACAATCATCTATATATAAATGGTGATTTAATGGTGGTTTAATGGGATTTAATGGTGATTATAGGGGTTCAATCAACCAAAAAACAGGGATGTGAGTGGATATACCCTCTGGTAAACGTTTACATAAGTATGGAAAATCCACATTTTTAATGGGTAAATCAACATTTTTAATGGGGAATTTTCAATAGCTATGTTAAATTACCAGAGGGTAATGGGATACATATGTACCCTCTGGTTATTGAAGGTAGCGAACTGGGAAATCACCTCTGGTTTACTAGGTATATCATCATAAATCATCTATAAATGGACCATTTTCCACGGCTACGTTAAATAACCAAAGGGTGTATATATATATATTATATATATACATGGAGGGAGAGAGAGAGAGTGGGTATATATATATACTGGAATATAATGTGAATATAACCACAAACATCATATATGGATATATGTGGTTTATGGTCATCCATCCCAGAATGGAAATCCTTACAATGGCTAGGTTTGACAAAGGATTGAGGACCATCCTCCAATATGTGTATACAAACCAACTTTGACCATGGCACATAGTTTTATAGATTGCAATGGACATATATACACCAACCTAAGAATTCATGGGGATAAATGGAGATATAATGGGAATGGGGATATAATAATAATGGAATGTAACGGGATATAACTAACAATATGGATGATATACTGTGATGATCATCAGCAGAAGAATCAGCAGCATCACCAAGATTATCCTCCATCATCATAAACGATGCGAAAAAGATGCATTCTTCATCGGCCATTGTCCCCATCAGCTGCAACAGCTGGAAAAAAAAACGGTACAATGTTGATGCCCTTTGTCATTGTTTGTTATCTACTTTGTGGCTATCGTCACTACTGTTCAAAAGTCACGTTTATATCTTTTATCTACTGAGCACTGTGGTAAAAATAAGGTAAACCCAACAATAAACCATTGCCACCATTACCATAAATGTGGTGAAAATCCTCCCCAAATGCTGGCGAAAATCATGGTATTCACACGTTGAAGCAACACGGCAACCCGGAGGCTTTGATCGCCAGCTGGCGAGCTAGGTTGCTCGCACCTTACCTATTCTTTCCTATTCTATGCATCTATCCCATCTATCCATCTATCTATCCATGCACCTACATCTGTACCAGAATTATTCATTATGTACCTTTTCCATCTATCTATCTATCTATCTATCTATCTAATCTAATCTAATCTAATCTAATCTATCTATCTATTTATCTATCTATCTATCTATCTATCTATATATATAATATATAATATCATATTATATGTATTGTATATATATATATATATATCATACATATTATATTATACATATAATATGTGTAATATATATATATATATGAATGATCAGAGTGCTCCCTGGTCTTGTTTTGTTTCTGGAGCTGAGAGCCCCAACGTCCCTAAGCGGTGACCTGCACCCCAACCCATCGCTTCGCCTCGGCCGTCACATCCGATGGAAATGGAGGTTTCAACGGGAAAAAAACAGGAAAATCATGGAGAAATATGGAGGTTTGAGTGGAAATCCTCTGTAAATGGAGGTTTTATGAGGTTTTAGTGGAAAAAAAACATCTATAATGAGAGATTTTCCAGCACGCCATGTCTCAGTACCGCTTAAAATCTCCATATTAATACACAGGGACGCGTCAAAACCTATGGTACCATTGATCAGGGGATGAACATCCAGGAGCTATCTTTATGTTTACCAAGTACAACGGTTTTGACGCATGGAAAAAAATCATTCAATGGGTTGATCCCGATTTTCCCCAACAAAAATCCACATAGTCGATGGTTAAATGCTATCATTGCTTTAGAAACCCATGAACATCCCCTTATAACCCTATATAAAATAAATGTTACCCTCTGGTAAACTAACATAGCCATGGAAAATCACCATTTTTAATAGGTAAACCATCTATAAATGGGCCATTTTCAATAGCTATGTTAAATTACCAGAGGGTATCCTGAAATTTATGCCATCTATGCCCTTCTCTGTTGTTGCGCCTGTGAAGCTTGACGGCGCTGTGACGCCACTCTCCTGGATTTACACCACATGGGGGATTTTTCACCAACAAACATAGGGAGTTTAGCCAGCAATGAGTTTAACCAACAAAAATAATGATAGAATAGTGATAGATATAGAATGATATAGATACCAATTATGGATAATTATGGGATTTCAATGGTTTTAAGGTATAGAAACATGGATGTACAAGATAGGTTTGCCTGCAGATGGAAGAGCCCTAAAAGCAAGTGGGCCATCACTCTGTTGGATGGGCATCAGATGGCAGGAGCGAATTCTCCATGAAAGGATATGAAAGGGAGACAGGTGGGATATTCTTGGGATACCATATTTACAGTAAAGAAAATCACTATACTTGGATACACTTGGACTTGTATAGATATGGAGGTTTCCTGAAATGAGGGTACCCCAAATCATTCATTTATAGATGGAATTTTTCCATAATAAACAAACCATTTTGGGGTACCACTATTTATGGAAACCCCCCATATTATTGCATGCGACGACTATAACATCAAACAAAGTCCAACTTGGAAAGAACTCACTGAGCCTCTTCCACCTACCTTAAGGTCCCATGCTCAAGCCTTGCATCAGTTGGGACTGTCTACTTAGTCTGCTTACACCAAAAACGTATGCAAATAGCATCACTTGAATATGTTGAATATCTAGATATATCATATACCTATAGGTATTTGTCTGCGTGTGATAACATATTATATATATACTATATAATAAAATTAATCTATGTTTCTTTTTCTTAGGCAACGGCAGGCAGGGCGCAAAGCCAGGGAGCCAGCAAAGCAAAATGGGGAAATTAATCTATATCGCCTATCTATCTATCTAATCTAATCTTTTCTAATCTTATCTCATCTATGTATCTATCAGTCTATCTATCAGTCTATCTATCTACCTATCTTACTTCCTTCTTTCTCATCTTTCCTATCTATTTGATCTATTTGATCTATCTGATCGATCTAATCTAGCTAATCTAGCTAATCTAGCTAATCTAGCTAATCTAGCTAGCTAGCTAGCTAGCTAGCTAGCTAGCTATCTGTCTATCTATTTATCTATCTATCTATCTATCTATCCATGTATGTATCTATCTATCTATCTATCTATCTATCTATCCATCCATCTATAAAGATATCTATATATAACTATATATAT